TGTTTCACTTGTTTCTCTTTATTAAACACGTTGACTGTCCGGCGAGTTTTCTCAGTTTTACCGCTTACGTTACACGGTAAAAAAAAACATTTTGTACTTGTGTTAAAGTCGGTCCTTGTTGAAATTTTTCTGTTGCATTTTTCACGCACTCATATATTAACATATTGCGTTTATGTTATCTCAATATTTTATATCGAGTCGATATTCAATAAATGTATAAGTATTAAAATAATAGATTTACTTCATTCTATACGACATTTTGTACTTCCATGTCGATTATACATAGAAATAAGTCGCGGGGTGACCCCCATACGGCACAGACAGCCAATTAATTCTCAATATATCGGATTCTCTTCGGTTCTCCCACGATTCGTCATGTAAGATAAATCCGCGAGACTTGTGCTTGAGACGCGTGCTCCGCCGTTCGTCGCGCGCGCCCATAGAATACACTCTTTGTCAGCGCGGAAAACGTCGAACGATCAATTTACCGATTGCGAACTAGGATAGACCGGATCTCTCGGAGACTGCTGGAGACGCATGCCGGTTTAGCGAACTCGGCCGTGGTATTAATCAAGCGCGCCCTTATCCCTCTAACAGCTCTTAACAGCGGCGCTTAATACCCGCGCTCACACGCGCGTGTCGCGAGATAGGCTCGCACCGAAAGAAGGATAACGCCGGCGATCTCGGGAGGCACAGAGGAGAGGATACACTTGCTTAGTTGGCCGGTCGGTTTTCGCATTAATCATACGCCGACGGTCCTTCCCATTCCGTATATAGCGGCAATGCGTGCTCTCGGCTCGCGATAACGATTATCGATGCCTCACGTTCGAAATATTCACGGTCCGCGTCTCGCCGCCTCCACCCTCCCGCCGTCGCCGAGTGCGCGCACCGTCGATAGCGGCGATCGCCGATAGCGAGCGTTAATTCAACCCGAATTGTCAATATCGTGCTGCGCGCGGAAAATCGCATTTTCCGTCGCCGGCGGAATTATTTGCGGGAGGACGAAGGCCGCCGCTGCGTTTCGCTGGGCCAGACGGCGACGACGGCGCTTCCTGCCGCCGCGTCTGACATTTACCACCGCGACGTTAACACATCGACGTACCGTGATTGGAAAGGCTGATAAATACCATCGCGCGAAAGACTTTCGGTCATTACACCGCGCTTTATTTATGGACGTCGATTTCAGGAGCCGTGGGAGAGCGCGTCTGGACTTTTTAGAATGCTAACGGACTCGCCGCCCGTCGCCGGCTATATTTTACTTTCTGCATCGCGCGAAACTCGCGCGCTCTTAAGTACCGGTAAACGGACATGTACCTGGATACATACTTCTTTTTTTTGTTTGGTTTTTAACTACGAATATCTAAACTTTCGATCATATATATATATATATAGGACGCTACATTAGCTATCGACGCGATTCCGGGTCTTTCATTGCTCCGAAACATAAAAAAGATCAAAAAGAAGAACAGATCTCGAAATATCTAGATGCAATTTTCAATTGAAAATACAAACTGCCAAAGCCGTCACGATTTCAATAGATTTTAGATGCGTGTAAATATTTTGACGCAAAACGCCAAATCACCGCATTTAAATTTTCATCGTTATTATTTTGAGCGCTTGCACCAAAACAGAAAGTCGTCTTTTGAGAGATTCTTTGCATGTTCGGTTTAATAACTTCGAGCACTTTTTTTTTCATTTAAACGCCGATAATCGCTTGAAACTTTTTAAAATGCAACGCGCCTCAGCGCGTCACCAGGCGCACTAGCTTGATGGATTCGGCGGACAGTTCATACGTTGAGCTTGCTCAAACCTTTGAGCTATGATAATAGGGATTATGATAACAGGTTGCCCAAATATCACTTCTCATACTTTCGTTTGGAAGTTCAAGACACACTTGCCGTTATACTTCGAAATGGCTTCGACTATTTTTATCATAGATTTTTATAATAGGAATATATGGACGCGAACTGTCTGTTTCTAGGGAACATTGCGGGCAGAAGAATTTCAAAATCTAAAAGATTCCAAGCCGTGCGGGCAGTTTGTGTTACAATAGATAAAGGAAAACAAGACTCCCATGCCACTCAATAACGACGCTTCGGGTGACATCATCCCGCGAGTGTAACCTAATTTAACCCTAACTAGAACCCATCGTTACTTTGGGAAATCCGACAGGATCCCAATTATATTCCAAAATATTTTCCGTGCAGGAAACAGAAAATCTATATTTGGGATAAGAATCAGACACCCAATCGGTGGTTCCCAGTCGGATAACCGATTTCGGGGCAACTTTGGACATTCTAATTCGGAATCTATGCTGTAAGCGGAAAAGTCTAGGAAAATTTCTTTGCGGAAACTGAAACCTGCGCGCGTAATAGCGCGGCGCCTGCGAACGATTGAGCCGTTTGTTTCGTGCTGGCTCGCAGGCTCCCGTCGGCTGGTTCGCATCTTCGCGAAATTCGCAGCGTTCACGGGGACCGGTCTTGTGTCACTTTCGAAGCCAGCTGCTTATCCCGAGTCGCGCGCGGTCCTTTTTCTGCGGAAATGAATAATTTATCGCGCGCGCTGGTGTTTCTTCTCTCGGTAAAACTTGATCTACATTAAACGCGGTCATTTACTTCGCTGAGAGAACCGTTAAGAGAAAGAAGAACCCGCACGATCCCGAAGAACATGCGTGTGCACACTTTGGAGCCGCGCGAGCGTGCGCGTCGCTCTAATGATATCTAACGCTATTCGACTCGCTGCTACTTTAATGCGCTCTACGTGCCCCGTGTATTTGCAAGAAATCACCGTTGAGACGAACAGGGAGCGTAGGAACGCGGATGAGCGGCTTTTTCGGAAAGAATTTCGTTTCCCGACGCGATTTCTTATACAGGTCAAAGCTATAACCACCATTGATTTGAATATCTTTGAAAAATAAAAATATATTGTTGAAAAAGAGAGAGAGAGAGAGATGTGACTAGATGGAGATGAAATTTACATTTATTGAAGGTGTTCAAAGTGGCGACCATCGGTATCGGTGTAATTAATGAGTATAGATACATTTTTCCTGCTTTCATATTTCAAAGATATGCAAAGTGTACAATAATTACCGTCTCATTTTGTACAGTTAATTTTTTCCCTTACACGAGTATGAAGAGGGAAAGCGTGAAAACCAACATATCACTTGATTTTGCTCTAAAATCCTGTCGAAGGTATTAAGTTAAAATTTATATAAATGAACCAGCAGCACGTCTCTACGAAAATATATGACAGTCTTATGGAAATTATTATATATTTTCTTGCAAATAACTGCTTTTCTTTTTTAATGTTTGAGGATTGACCCTTCTAGAACTTAGGTCTCTATATACCTACAATACAAATGGGTTTCTCAGTGTGCTCATGTCAGTTTTGGTGCTTTTCCTCTACCTCACCGGTATTAGAAATTAGCGGTGCGAAAGGAGATACGGGATTCCGTGGTGTTTTTTTTTGGAATACCAGCTACTGTTAGTCCCGCGGTTATCGCGAAGAACGCAGAAGAAAGCGCGAACGAAGTCTACCGAGCCTCACCGCGCGTCACTCGAGGCGACGACACGCGAACGATCGGGAAGTCGATTCTCGTATTTGCACGTTTTATTCACGCTGCGGACATAATCCCGGCGTGCCTGCGTAACGGTAAAAACAGATCGGCGTGCATTCACTTTTCCCCGCTGTATACTACCGCACACACATACACTCGCGGCGGCGGCATTATCCAGCCGCATATGAGGCACGCACTTTTGCAGCAGGCCTTTTAAGGATATACGGCATGAAGTGTCGGCACTAGTTTAGTGACGAGCCGAAAACGCGTCTCTCTCGCGGAAACGGTGCATCGACTACTTTGACGCTCTTAAGGATAATTTCTGCCTATTTAGATGACTTATAGATTAATAAAAACCTATCTTGACAATATTGACGCTTCTTAACTTCTCTCTTGAATCTCTGATTCTGTAGATTTTATCTTAATGCTACCTTAAACAATCTGTTTTGACGCTAAAACCGCGAAAACGGGAATTTGAGAAAGCGAAAATCATCAGAGTCAAAATATTCGAATAGAAATGTATCTAGTTGGCCGGCCTAAATCATGAGCTGATAACTAATCAGTACAGATTAGATGAAATTTTCCAGCTCACTGTTACTTCACTAAGATTTTTGTCCTAATTATAATTTCTTCTGCTTAACTATCAGCTTACTTAATTATCTGGTCATTGTCTAGCTGTTAAGAGAAAGAAACGTTACATCATTGGTTAATAGCGACGTTGCACACAAATTTATTATTTCGTGGCTAAACACTCACTGGGTTCAGCTTTTACTAGGATAGGAATAACTTATATTATTACATTGAAATTGTGAATATTTGGTTATCTTGAACGAAAAATCTTCTAGGAAGATTAATCAAGACAAAATCCCCCAACAGGATTATATTATTTCTGCTTATACATGAGAATATCTATTTTTGATTTAAGACGAATTTTTTTCCGGCATTTTCCGATCATCCACTTTTTACAAATAGGTAAGGTCCTTGCGCAACGAGCATTATCCTTGACGACAGACACGACGTTGAATTCTGAGTGAATTCGCTCTAATTCGATGATTCGTCCCGTGGCCGTCGTTCATGCGACTCGCTGCTGGACGGAAACGGTTTGCTCTTCAAAGACGCCCGGGACAGATGCGCGACGTTCTGAGAAATTTCTGAGGAAACTCGCGTCCCTAAATTGCCCCGGCGAGCGTTCGGCACACGGGCGCGCACCATCGGCCAAGTGGCGTCTATTAAGATTAGAAACTGGGTTAACGTTGCTCCCTAGGATGAGCTGCCACTTAAGTGAAAGCCCTAACGGCTGAAGAAGTTAATTCATCTCGCGTTGCGCAAACGTGTCGCTAATTTCTCCACTCGACCACTTAAACAGCTCGCTCTTGCACACACATACACAGACGCGAGTGTAAAACGCGATGACTAATTTCATCCCTCCTATCTGTGCTCGCAGACTGAACCGATGCATCGAAGGGGCAGGTGACGAGCGGAACCCAGACGAGCGTCCCTGCGATACTCCGTGAAGAAGCCTCATCGCGGCAACACGAGAAAGATGCTGAGCCAACGACGAAGGCATTCTCGTTGGAGAATGTTCCTCGTTCTGCTGGTGTTCGTCGGACTGATCCGTCACAGCGAGCTCACGTCCGCCGGTATACCCGAGTCGTCGTCGTTGAGCTCAGGTCCTGTCGCCAGAAAGAAATCCCAGGACATCGGCTCCCTGAACGACTTCTCCTGGCAAGCGTGGTTCATGGTGGACACGCAGGCCGGCGCCCAGCCCGGCGTGGATTCCGCGACCCTCATGCGGAGGATCACGCCGAAAAGTGTCTTCATCGCACCCGCCCTGCCTGCCTGTCCCGACGGGTACGTCGAAGACAACATGGACAGGTGCGTGAAGGACGTCAACATAGATGAAAGTGCGCATTTCAACTTCCTCCTGCAGCGCCTGAATGCTCTGTACGCCAATCAGAAGAGCAGCCCTCAGGAGCAGAGTCAGAAGCAGTTGAACAACGGTCCTCTGCAGCTGAACATCCCGCTGATGCCCAGCACCGATGACGACTCCGAGAAGGTCGAAACGATCGATACCCTGTTGGCGAACGACCCTTTCGCAGCGGTGGTGGGCGAGATAGGCCTGGAGAACGACAAGAAGACGAAGCACGAGGCGGTGGCCACCGTGTACGAGGTGAAGAACGACACCACGTCGGACGACGAGCGGCAGGCGGAGCAGCAGGAAGAGAGTGCGATGTTTTTTCAGGAGAGTCCCAGGATCGAAGGGGGTGATAAGACCGACGAAAAGCCCGACGCCCCGGTGCCGGTGGCGGAATTCGTCGAGGAGAGCAACGACACCAGCTTCTCGGGGGTGGTGGACTACAAGATCCCGGCAGATTCGAAGACCTTGCTGAACGACACTACCGGCTCCAAAGACGCTACGACCGCGGGCAAGCGAGTCAGCTCCACCGAAATGTCGCCCTTGATGCAACTATTGTTGTCCACGATAGTACCGAGCACGATTTCCAAGCCCGAGACGGACGACCTGCGAACGACGGAGAACGGTACCGTCGATCACACCTCACACAACCCCGCTAAGGAGCTGGCCAATGACAACGCGCCGGACTTCTACGAGCTTCCACCCGCGTGGAAGCCGTCGGAAACGAACAAGCGTCGGGACAACGAGACGCGCGCGAATGAACAGCCGAAGGGACCGGAGAGCCCCAAGTCGCACGAATCGCACGAGACCGACTTCATCTACGACGAGGAGCCGGAAGACGATGAATACACCTACAGCACGGACATGCCGGACGAGAAGTCGACGGAGGCGGAAGAGATCCTGAAGCACGGAGAGGCCGGCATGACGATTCCCACGCGGAGCCCCATTCGACTGCATCGCAAGCGACCGCAACAACAACAGCAGCTAAATCAGACCACAGACCGGAAGAAAGCAGCTGCCGGATTCCATGAGCAGCTCGTGATCCGCTTTAACGACTCCACGCCCGCCGACAAGGACGAGGCGGGCAGTAACGTCTCCAGCGAAGTCAGCATTGACGGCGACCTCATTCTGGAGACGACTTTATTGGACCTGAACACCGAGAGGCTGCAGGTCACCAGCACCCAACCGCCGGACGTGAGCGGCGAAGTCGCGACGAAGAGCGACGACGACGACGACTACTCCAGAGAATCGTACGAGCAAGTACGTCGACGGACTCCCGCGCCGGAGGTCGTGTTCGGGGACTCCTACGACACCGCGTCCACCGGTGCGCACGATCGCAACCGAGCCGAGCACTCGGCGAGGGTCGGCAGCCACGTGGAGGACGAGAGACACGACGAAACGTTGCTGACCTCGTCTTCCTTGCTGTACGACCCTCCCGAGGAAGAGCCGGCAGCCGGAACCCACGCGATCGACGAGGAACGGTTCGACGTACCTGGAGAGAGCGCACTGGAAGACGACGATGCGAGGAGCACTACCCCACGGAACACTCAGCCCCGGCCGGGCGGCTTCGTGCGTTTCGACAACTCCGCGAGAGACTCGGCGAACCACGAGCCGCTCGAGGATTACGTTAGATTCCCCGCGAGACAGTCGCAGACTTACGTGAGGTTCCCCTCCAACGAGGCCAACAGCATACACAGTCAGCTCAACTACAAACATCGCTCGCATCAAACGACGAGCGACGGTGCCTACGGCAGCACCAGCACCAAGAGCAGCGTGCCTACACGGCAGAAACCAGTTTACCACCTTTTGGCGCCGAGCTGGAAGCAGCCGGATCGACAGCAGGAGGAGCGCGTGGCGAGCGTGCAGAGGCAGAAGCAGGCGTCATATTATCAAACTATAAATCGGTTTTACGCTATCACGTAAATAAAAGAAAAACGGCATCGAACGCGCCGAGTTCTCTCATTAGGCCATCGGCCGCGCTCCGAAGCGCATCGGGCTGAAAAAACGTTCGGGAAAATGTCCAGGTTCCATTGAAATCGAGCGTACAGTCAATTATAGATCGAGAACTCACGTCTCCCCCCCCCCCCCCCCCCCCCNGCCCGTGAAACCTAACAGAATTCATGACTTCTTTTTGACACGCGACGGAATTGACCGGCGATCGGTACACTCCTCGTGCGCGGATACTTTTTGCTTTTTCCTCGTTATTCCACCACTCGTATCGCACATCTAGCGTTGGATGCGATTGCTTTGTCGTGCATTCCCCTCGGACGCGTTCTTCGCGATGAAACAACGGAATCAGCACTAGCGGATTGATGACGGTGACAGCAGGTGTACAATCAATCGGTCGGGTGAAATTTCATTCAAACGGAATTCGTCAACATAACACTCGGCAGTCGGTGAGATAAATAATCGGAGTTCGGAAGAAGCCGCGCATCCGGAGAGTCGAACGCGCGGCGAGACTGAAAGGCGATCGTTCTTCGATTTCTATATCTTACGTGAAAATTGTTCGCGTAAGAAGATTGCGATATCTGATCGTACCTTGCTCTCGGACAGTGTCTCTGTTATTTCTTTTTTTATTTCTTTCAAATCTATCTCAGGGCGCGTTTCCTGTTACGATCGCGTAGAGGACGTTCTCCCTGGTAGTTTCGCGTGCTCGTTCCGCGAGTGTCAGCTCAGTGTTGATGAGACTCGGCACGAGCGAAGCTTCGACACGAGATTCGCGCGATTCAGTGTCTCTTCCTATCGTTAAACGCGACCGGTTCGCGAAGGACACCCGATACACTCTCCCGTACGTCGGCCTCTTTGTTCAAATGCCGAGATGGCTGCTGTCGAGATAGCTTCCGTAGAAAGTCGCCCTTCTCGTCACGAATTTCCCCGTGGTCGCGGTATCGCGTTAATTGCGCGAATCTCTGGCCGCTTCTCCCTTTTCCCGCCACTTTCTCCGCTCCGACGCTGAAGACCGCTCGGTACTATCGATCACGCGCGGTTATCAGGATGCGCTCCTGCACACGGGAAGGAGAAACAGCGACGCGGAGAATCCTTGCGGCTGAGAGATTTCATTCCGGATTCGCGCCTTCCGAAACGACCCCGGTTCTCCGCAGTGACTATTCTTGTTAAAACGTTTCCTATCAGCACGTTCTTGCTGGCCGCAGTGCACGGAGAGAAAAGACCGGTTGAATTGACGCGACAATGAACGTGAACCAAAGGTGTCTTCTAGTCTTTACCAACGAAATTCGATTCTTGGGGCCAGGGCAGATATTAGGTCTGTTCGTTTTCGCAGCACCGCCGAACTAGTGCAATAAGTCGAAGTGAGAAGACATATACTTGTCTCTCTTCAACTTATCGCACTAGTTCGGCGGTGCAGCGAAAACGGACAGACCTACTGTGGAACTGGCATCTATTATGAAAATAGCCGGAAAGGTCTCCGATCGTTATCGCTCGATCGTTCCCTGGATTTCTATTGTATTTCCTAGAGAATAACTAAACTATTCCGATCGGAACCACTCAATTATTCTCTCGAAGACATAATAGAATCTATGGAAAAACTGAACGATTCCGACCGGAAGCCCCTCTTAACAGTTCCATAACAGATGCCCGGAGCGGTCATGTAACTCAGAAGCGGAACCGTAAAGAGTGAAGGAATTCGTGTGAACCCGGCGACATTTAACGATATCATATAGCTTCTCGAACAGTGAACACGAGTGAGACTTTTCACTTTCCACGTATCCGCTCCTAGGGGAAAGTTCCACGTTGCCCGGAAATTCAACTTTCATCGACCAAAATATACTCGGTTTGTCCACTGTCACGTGATAGTTCAACCAATCTTCCTTCTCCGAGTACGGAAGACGGTTCTAGGAAGGATACCCTTCTGCGATCGCTCCTTCTGAGATCGTCGAGGTTTCCGGACTATTCGCAACGTTCGCCGAACACGCGATACTTACACACTCAGCATACAACGATTCGCGCGATTCCCGCCCTGAAGAACCTGGAAGTGCTGTAAAGAAAGCCCCCCGTGTCAAGCCTCCCCGGTTCCCTCGTCTTCCTCTTTTCCTTCCCACCCCTCTCCTCCCTTCATTCATTTGACACTCGGTTCCGAACGGTCGGTAGACCTTCTCGAGTGAAGCGACGCAGAAGACGCGAAGAGTCAGTTCAGAGGAGGAGACGCGCTTAGCCGTTACTTGGCGTTCTTCGCCGATCCCGCGTCTTGCCGGCGAGGGACTCCGGCGTGGTTGCTCGGCCGGCGATCCCCCCTCGAACGAGTCGTCGTCGTCCTCCGATCGATTCGTCGGGAACTGGTGGACGGGGAAGATCGACGAGTCCCTGATCAGCGGCATCTTGCTTCAGAGGCAAAGCAGCGCCGACGGGACGCGGGAAAAATCTCTTGCCCTCACATACATGTAACATCGCGAAATTTCAAATTCTATATTAAGTCTTCAAGTGGAGAAAACGGAAATAAGTTTCCATTTGTATCATCAAAGGAGCATAATAAATACTTAACAAATGGGGGTTGAGAGCTCCATAGCGTAAATCTTACTTTTACATTAAATCTTTAACTGGAGAAAACGACGATAATAATTTCCCATTTGTAGCATCAATGGAGCGTAATAGAAGACCTTTGAAAATGTCGATCCATATTCTAAACTCCCATCGATGAAAGTGCCTTAAATGCGGCTTTTCGGCCGATCAGATGGTTCCTAAGCCAATTTTCGAGGCATTTTTATCCATAAAATTGAATTTAGAATATGGATCTTAATGTAGAATTAAATTAGGCTTAATGTAGAACTAAAATTCCGACTCGGGCGGCGTCACGGTTGCATCACAGTGACGCCGGTAGCGAACGTGTTGACTCGTGACGGAATTAATCAGAAACAAGTTCTCTCTCGGTCGGCCTTTGTCCGAATCGCAATCGCGAAAAGAATCGTTTGAACCGTACCGAAAGCACAAATGTGCACAGCGAACGGGATCGAGAAAACGCGCGTCGATGTTAAGGTTCCGAGATAACGATGTATGAGCGACGAGTCGAACGAGCTCGCGAGCGATACGCCGAGCTGATTCTGACACGGAGAGGTGTTATCGCAGCAGACTGATTTCTTTTAGCGTTATTCTAGAGTAGTAAGTGATGATTTCCGGTCGTACGAAAAATCCCGAGAGTTCGCGTCGCCTCGCTATCGGCGACGGGACTTGTGCGCAACAGCACCGGTTCCCGTCACCTTCGTCGAGATTTGCGGGGCGGAATGCAAGAGAGAGAAAGAGAGAGATGCAGCTCTCGGCCACAGGCGCGTCTTCGTCGCGGCACTAGCGGGCGTCCGAGAGGACGACTCGAAATTGACAACTCATGTAACGCGTAGACGTGCAATTTCGACGTCTCGGATTCTCGCGCCGCGAACAGACGCCAGCATCGCGTAGCCTGCGACAAGCGTAGTTTAAGTGTCCCCGATGTGACCTAAGGCTGGATCTACGATTGGTGTAATGAGCTTTCGGCCTTTTATTCGAAGCAACAAGTTGTAATGTATTTTCCAGCAAAGATGCCGCGATTCTTCCAAGTTCTCATCAGTGTTATTATGACCTTTCGCGGCAACGCGGGAAATGTTTACCTCTTGTCGGAAATTACGTTACATTTTGTTGCTTCAAGCTTAAAGGCTTACCACACTTAGAATTCCTCAAGTTTTGCGAGAAAATGGTGTATCTGGTTTGTCACTAGAATGTTTTTATCTGCGAAGAGTTTACAATATATCGAGTTTTGGTGCATTTTTCTTTCGAGGGTATATACAGGTATTCCAAAATCTCCACACGCGGAGTGTACAGGGAGATTTTTCATACCAGAAGACGTAACTTTTTCCTTAACGAAAATGTCGAGTAAAGTCATTATTTATAGTGACTTTCCAATTTTCAACGTAACAGATATCTTTGAAGCTAAGCCTTAGACTAAAATTCCGTTCGTCTATTTGAAATTGACCGAAGAAGATAATTTTGTTAATAATTTTGTATTTATTTGCCCGAAACTTAGCTCGCAAAAAACTTCATTTTTGTTCAATCGTTTGTTCCTCGGATATTATTATCCGAACACGATAAAAGAAACGATTACTTCTTTTGGTATCGACAATCTCCCCGTTCACTCCGCATGTGAGAATTTTGGGACACCCTGTATATGTGTTTACCTTATTATATACAATACTATTTATAAAAGTAGATTTCTCATTTAAAACAAAATTAATGTTTCCATTATCGTCATTATTTGTCTCTTATTTTAGAATAACATTTATAAATAGTCTATTTAATTGACAATCCTCAGTTCCGCTATTCTTTACCAAATAAAGAACCGGACTAATCAGAAGTCGGAAACTTTTACCGCAGGGAGACTCTGACTACACCCATTGTAGATTCGGACTAATCGATCGTTGTTTCACGTCGACGCTTCGAAGACGGGACTCGAGCTAGCCGTCGAAATCGCTCGATAGTCCTCGAGAATCGCTAAAGTCTCGATGGCCCTTCGCGGTCGTTATTCACTTGTACTATTCGCACCATCCTACTTATATTCTCGAGACGACTGCACTTCGGTAAAAACGTTTTCGATGCACCGCTATAATGAGAGGGACGGAAAGAGAGTACGGACGCTTCAGTTGCGGCGCTCGCGACTGTCCCGCTGAAATCAACGATATACTCATCTCGATTCCTGTTAACGCTCGTGCGCGCAAAATTCCCCCGGCGGTTAGACTCAGCGAGTTCTCTCTCGGCATACCGCGACAACAGGTGTAAGGCGGGGAAAGTCGCGGTCTTTGTTGCGGCGAGTGACGCTACCGGACGTCACTTTCTCCGTCGTCGCGGCGAGCATCGAAACGTTTCGAGATATTGTTTCCTTGTTAATTTTTTCCCCTCGATCGATCCTGTTACACAATGCGCAACGCGACGCGACACAACGAGGCGGAAAGTTTCTATGATAATTGACATTGTGCGGCCAGTAACTCTACTGCTCTACGTGCGTTTCTCAATGTGGTGTGTAATGTCTCTCGTATACTGAATGTCGATTCGTGTACATATTAATTTTATTACGGAGAATTGTATATATATAGCATAGAGTATTAAGCATATAATATATGAAGAAAGTGTAAGCGTTAACACACACACACACACACACACACACACACACACACACACACACACACACACACACACACAACATAACACACACAAGCAGCGTCCCGATTTGCGTATTAATCATTGACTGTATATCAAATCTTATTGTATTATTATTTATAGCGAAATATATCGATGTATATTGCATCTCTGTCGTGTTGTGCAAGGCCGCCTATGTTAGATAACGAAGTCGGAGGGAGCTATAAAAGATGCATACGATGATACCAAAAAAATATTCCGTCGTTTCTTTATTCATTCACAATACCCGCCTGCTTTCTACACGTATTCTCGCGCGTTTCTACCGTTAAAATTGACATATTGGAAAAAGCACCAGACTTGGAAAAATGAAACAGACGTAGGGCCAACTTCTTTTCGAACATCCTCTCTTTGAAGTGCGCATATATGCGTCGCTCTCGTTAGAAGGGGATAAGCGAAAGTACGCGGGAAAAAATTAGTCTTCAATCAACGATAGATATTCTCACATAAGCAAGAATATTATAATTTCCTTAGAAGACTTTTTCATCTTGATTCGATTGGATTTGTACTGACGCGAGTATTGCGCTCAATTTCAGACTGAAGATCGAAGAATATTATAATATCCTTGCTTATATATATATGAGAATACCCATCATTGATCTGTAGATAGATTAACTTTTTCTTTTCTGCGTAAGAGATAGATTGCCTTAAACATCCATCTATCTCAGGCATGTTTCTCGCCCGTACGCGTCAATTGGCAGTGCCTCTTCCAGTACACTTATATTTCAGTAGTTTCTACCATGGAAAGAAAGAAAATCGCGCCGTTAATTCGCGGAAGAGACGTCGGTCGCACTAGTGTCAACCCGCGTCTTGAGTCCCTTGAATTCCCTGGCCAAGAGAAACATCTCCGTCGACTCGTCTCTCGTGGCGTCCGGCCTGACTATCTTGACCCTGTTGTAAAACCTCAGGAGGTCCTGCTCCAACTGCTGCGACTTCCTGCCGTCCCACACCTTCACGACGAACGTGCCGCCCGGCTGGCTGACCCGCAGCGCGAATTTCATCGCGCTGTACGCCAGGCGTATTATATTGTCGTGGTCGATCTCCCTCACGCCGCTCGCGTTCGGCGCCATGTCAGAGAGCACCACGTCCACCTTGACGCCCTGCATCGATTCGCGCAGCATATCCTGCGTCTTGGCGGACGTGAAGTCCATGTTGCCCAAAGTGACCGCACCCTCCACCGGGTAAAACGGAAGCTTGTCTACCGCGTACGCCCTGCCGACGGGACCGTCCGCCTTGCCCAGCGCATTGATCGCGTTTACCACCACCTGGGTCCAACTGCCCGGCGCCGCTCCGCAGTCCACGACGTTCTGGCCCGGCTTGAAAATCTTGAAGCGCTCTTGAATCTCCAAGAGCTTGAACGCGCTCCTGCACCGGTACTTCTCCTGCTTCGCCTTCTCCACGTAAGGATCCCGCAGCTGCCTCGTCAGCCACTGCTGCGAGCTGTGCTTCTTGCCCTTCAGATTTTGCGGAGTCTCTTTCAGCAGCGCGCACGAGGTGTGCACGCTCCTCGACACGTTCCTGCAGAGACTATTCATCCCGGCGTAGCTCAGGTTAGACGACATAACCTAACAATCTGGCATTCGGCTGGCGTTATCGCTCGCTCGCTCGCTCGCAATCCTGGCTCGTCGCGGAATTCACGTCTGTCAGCGACTCCACGCGCCGGTTACGCGATGTACGTAGCCTTTCTGAAGAACGCGTAACGTCGCGTACGTAAGAATCGGAACGCGTTGCACGGTACGGAACGGACACACGACGAGCGAACTATCGCAGCGGCGGACAGTGACGATGCACGCCGCCATGTTGCTCGAGCGCAACGCCCTCTCGATGGCCGCTATCAGCTGATCCACGTCAAACGACTGACGCATGCGGCTCGGCAAAGGGACGGACCGTGCACGCGTGTGTAGATCACGCGACTCTCGTGTAATCGTTTGCATTATGTTACTCTTGCCTATTTTATTCGGGGCCAATAAAGTTATCGTTATTAAAATTATCATTATTATTATTAATTTCTAACTCTTTTCGGTTAACCTTCTGTTGGTCGCGATATTCAATAGATAACGCGACAATATTGCCGCGATTTCTCAACAACCTTTGACGGATAATCTTTTCTATACTGACAAAATGCTTGTTGCATGAAGACTCACCTTAACATATATCGCTAGTCATGATACGGACGATATATTGAAATGTGTTTATCTGAACGACATTTTAGACGAGATATATCAATCTATTATCGATAATGATTAACGACTTTGTGTGATATTTTTTATCGAGTTCACCGATGAGAAACATTGTCGCTGGTTTTACTTGAAAAGAGAGAAAGCGCAGGGCAGTGTGCGACGACATCGCGGTGAGACGCGTCTGCTAACACTCTCGTGAACGCGCAAGCGTGGCGCTCGTTCCCCTCCATCCGGGGCACGTCGCACACATCGGCACACGTAAACTCGCGATCACGACACACACACACATACACACAGATTCACAGTGCTAAGGCGAAAAAAGTGTCACACAGCTTGCCGGCGAGGAGAATGTGAGAGGCTGTGTTTCGCGAGACGCGCGAGCGAGAGACCGTCCGGATGTGCCTCAGTAGCGAGTGATCCACGATGAACCTGACCGCGGGAAATCCGCACGGCAACGGCCTGCTCTACGCCGGTTTCAACCAGGACCAAGGTATGTCGTCGTGCGCGATTCGGCCGCGCGATTCTGACAGCGCGACTCGCGCGCGCTGTCAGATCCGCTTCGACTGCGTTTCTAACCTAGCACCTCGTCCTCCACGTCCTGGAGGTCGCGGTCTGACGCGACCCGCGACACCACGGTGTCCTGAAGACGCTTCCCAGCCGCGTGTTCCATGGGTCGCCGACTCGCTCGCTCTCGCTCTCTCTCTCTCTCTCTCTTCCTCTCTCTTTTGGCGTTCCTAACCTCCTTCTCGCGCGTTCGTATCCGGAGCGACTTATGATCGTCGTAGATCACGATCTCGTTACTTAATTCATCGCGGGTCATCTCGCTTCCCGAAGGACGTGGACGATCTCCCGTCACTCGGAGCACAATTGATCCGAAATCGTGTCGACGAAATGCCCACCTCCACCTATGGCCTATCAATAATGTGTCGCTCCGTCCTGATTCTTGCGTGAAATTCAATAATAAAGAAAGACACGAGAGAGATCGGTGGGCTCGTTTATTCCGTCCTCTGCTTTCTTCCTTCCTTCCTTTCCTGCGAGAAACGCCATATGGTCGTGTGTCGAAAACAATTCCACGTTGATAGCGTATCTACACGCGTGAGTCCGTCGTGGCCGCGTGCATCCCTCTGTGTTCGTGCTAATACGTGCACGCGTGTATCACAAAATACTGTGATAGTCTGATCGGCACTGCTAAGAAAAAGGATGTACCGTGCAAGTGTACGCTGGCAGATAAAGATATCGCTCTTTTGCACATGATGCATTGACGTGCACGTGTGCATCGACTCACATGTTCTCATATGTGTGTGTGTTTTTTTTAGGATTATTCGCTTGCGGCATGGAAAATGGCTTCAGGGTGTACAATTGTGACCCGCTGAAGGAGAAAGAGAGGCACGATTTCAGCGATGGGGGTCTCGGCTACGTGGAGATGCTCTTCAGGTGTAATTATTTAGCACTGGTTGGCGGCGGAGCCAAACCGCTGTATCCCACAAATAAAGGTTGGTTCTTATACAGAATATGACGGAGATAAGTGAGCAAATTTTCGGAATGTATATTCTACTCATCTTAAAAGCGAAGAGAGATTTGCAAGTGAATTCAGAGACTCTTCCCTCGTGGAGTACAGACGTATTGATGACTAGAAAAGGTTGCTGAAAAAGTTTACCATGTCCGGAATGATAAATATTCTTATTACTTTACTTCCGTTAGAAGTAAATTCTGAATTTTTATCGTAAAGACTTCTCATGACATCCCATTGTAAATCAAAAGCGTTTGTATCTTGGAAGAAATTCCGGATCTGCGTTTATACAATCCCTTTTTACGCTTAAGATGAGTAGAATATGCTTCTAAAGTCTGACCATTTATTTCAGCGCTGCTGTCCAGTCGCTTGAGTCATCTTTTATTACTTTTTTTTTTGACAAGTCAATAAGAAATTTACTATTGTCCAAAATGGATCATTATAGTCATTTTTCTCCTGAGCTGCCGTTAAATTTGTAAAATATGGGTATTCTATATATATCTTTGCCTTAATAAAATTGCTTCGAAAGTATTTGTATCATTCATACTCTTGATCTTTCCTTGTTATGAATTTTCAAACCATATTATGAGATAAACTCGCTATATGTTAAGTTGTCCAAAAATAAATCCTGGAAAAAATAAAGTAAATGTTATTTATCTGCTTAAATGCTTTTAGTTACTTTAAGAATTTGACACACTTTTGATTACTATTCTGATGTCAGAGGGGTTACTTTTTATCATCTTTTCTGCCAAAAAGCAGTCACTATTTCGTTTCTTTTTGTTTCGGCGACTGGGTGGCAGCATTACTTCAATTACATTTCATGTATACATTTTATACACGTATGCTATAGAAATCATCACTGAACCAATGTCAATCATACTTTGTGATTGCAGTTATGATATGGGACGATATAAAGAAGACGCCGGTAATCACCTTAGAATTTAACGCGCCGGTAAAAGGCGTGAAATTGCGGAGGGACAGGATAGTGGTAGTGTTAGAAGGCGTTATAAAGGTTTACACATTTACACAGAATCCACAGCAGTTGCACGTATTTGAGACTAACCCTAATCCACGTGGATTGTGCGTTTTATGCCCCAATAGTAATAACTCTCTACTTGCCTTCCCCGGTCGGAAGAACGGTCACGTTCAAGGTGAGACTCCGTCGGCAGAATCTAATTAACGCGGCGTCACCTCCACATCCTCGTATTTCAGTTATAGATCTGGCCAACACCGAAAAGCAGCCCTTGAATATAGAAGCGCACGAGACGCCTTTATCTTGCATAGCTTTAAATCTGCAGGGCACCAGACTGGCCACTGCCTCCGAGAAGGGTACTTTGATAAGGGTATTCGATACGCAAAACGGCAACATGATCAACGAGTTGAGGAGAGGAGCGAATCACGCGAACATTTATTGGTAAGCACGTAAGAAGACGCGATGCAAGGCGCGTACGAGCGCGTGGTACGAGAGACTCGTTTGTAAAGCGACTTTCATCGCAGCATAAACTTCAATCACGACTCCACGTGGTTGTGCGTCGCCAGCGATCACGGCACCGTGCATGTGTTCGCCGTCGAAGATCAAAAGCTGAATCGCCAGTCTAGCTTAGCGTCCGCCACGTTCCTGCCAAAGTACTTCAGCTCGAGCTGGAGCTTCTGCAAGTTTCAAGTGCCGGGCGGGCCACAGTGCATGTGCGCGTTCGGCCAAGATAACAATAGTATCATAGGTAAGCTATGAAAATTGGATTCGTAATTACGCGAGAGCCCTGCAATCGAGGCCCGATAGTTCACTGTCAAATACAACCTGGCTTCAAGACATTGCTAAAGGCTAAGTCCGAACCTACAATAGGTGCAATGGGTCTTTAGTCTTTTGCTTTAAGCAATAAAATGTAACATAATATCTGAAAAAAAAAAGCGTTGCCAAAACGTAACGAAAAATGTCGACTTAAAACTTCGAAATTGCGACGTCTGATAACGCTAGTTTATTCTACTTTTTGCTGGAAGGTACGTTATTATTTAATGCTTAGAGCAAAAAGCTAAAGACTCACCACATCTATTATACCTGTTAAGGACCGTCTGCAATAGCCGTCTACAAACGCCGTAAGTATGCAGTAAGACGTAAGGCACCGAGCAAGTTGACCAACCACGATCGATTATTCTTCCAATGAACGACCATGGTTGGTCAGTTTGACTACTGCTTACATCTTAAAGCAAGATCGTGAACAAGGGACTAGATCCGGGTTAAAGTACATTCGATGATGAATCAGGCCGGATCCTATCGGGGCTCGATTTGCAGGGCTCCGAATTACACCAGCGCCGTCTTCGCACGGCACAATCTCTCTCTCTCACATTCACGAACCACTTTTGTGTCCCCTTGTGCAGTGATATGCGCAGACGGTAGTTATTACAAGTTCGTATTCAACAACAAGGGTGAATGCACGAGAGACTTTTACGCACAGTTCCTCGAACTGACCGACGAGAAAATGTGACTAGAGGACACGACGGCGGTCCGGTATTAAGAGCACCGCACGGAGACGACTCTCCCTCTCTCTCTCGTGTTACTTCGTTGTTGTCAGTTGTCACCGGCCGCCGAGTGAAGAGATCGAGGTTACTGGGCGCAATGACACACGTGCTGTTCATGGAGAATACGACTCGGTGAGATATTCGTTACAGAGGATACAGATCTATGAGAAACGTCCGCTTTCGGACGATATATGATAGAGGACCAAACGAAGAGTTCTATTGATTGTTAGTGATGCCGATATATCGTTGATGTGTTGTGCGCGGCTTTCCGGCGAGCACGGAGACGCGTGACCGACGACGAAACGTCGCGATGATTCGTCTCCTTGTAACGGAAAACGTCGACAATGAGAGGTTTAACGCGCTGCGAGAAACGCGTCGTAGGACGCCCAGCGCACCAACGAACGCGTCGAAACGGAGATCGCGTCCGCGAACGAATCTGTTACACGAACCTACCGCCGACGCCTATCGATACAGAGGAGCGAGTTTTTTTTTTCAACGCAACAAACGAAGGGAATGTCCGCGGGTGACATCTCGTTACCGCCGGGGAACATCGCGAGTTACTCGTTGGCGTGTGATACTCATCTTTTTTCTTACACTTTAGATAAGGACGCTGCGCAATTAATTGAGAAATCAAACGTTGGCCATAAATATCATCGCGACTCCGAGATACAGCTGATCATATTTCGTTCTCGCTTGCGTGAAAAGCCTTGCAATGCAAATCACGTGTCCATATCAGCGCTGTCATGTTCGATTATTCGGGCATCCCGAGTCTTTCAGTAACTGAGAGTACGGTTAATTTCAGACGTTATAAAGTTATTGATTTTTCTAACGATACGGATGATAATGCCGTCTGAAATTAAGTTTTCTTCAGGAATTTACTCAGCCTGACGTTTACTCAGTTACTGAAAGATTCACGTGCCCGGATAGTCGAAATTGACCGTACTAGTCCCTATTGCAGGGTTGGCAAAATTCCGGATTTTTTGGATAAATGGTGAAAATCGATATTTTCCAGAAAAACTGATCACGAATAAACGATAAAATAAATAGAAAACGTTTTTATCGATATTCTAATTCACAGGCAGTCCTAAAAAGACCTAGCTATGATTCCACGCGCAAGAATCTGCACGTAAAAAAACAAGTAAAACATGCACGATCATATATTCACACTTCTATGAATCTTTTCACACAGATGTGTTAATTATTACGCTTTTATTGTTTGCTGGTGAGATCATTTAACATGAGTAATTTGAAAAATGTATCAGGAGGAAGACACAAAAACGCTATATGGGCGTTTGCTTTGTATTCTGTTCTATTGTTAACGTTAATAGGCAGAAATGTATTGCTTGTGGAATATTAATATGTGTAAAATTCCACGACCGAAACAGCATCCTCAAAGGTGTAATAACGTTAAAGTAAACGTATACGCAAACCAGATTTATGCTGGCAAGAATTTTTAATATTATACTATTGTTTTTTCTCCATTAATCCAAAAACTGATATAAAATCGAGTGACATTTATATCTTCCAAGTTTTTGTCTTAAGAACTTCACATATTTTACACGTCAATTTTAATTAAAACAGACTTTTTTATCATACTGGTTTCGATTTTCCTTAAATCATAACGATCGATAGGATTTACTAATTAAAGCGGAAATATCTCTTTGCATAAAGTTACATAAATATATTTTAGTATTATATATTAGTCTTTTTTATAGTTTTATAGTTGTAGTTTTTGCCAGTTTATTCCACTAGATAGAGTCCGAGACAGTTAGAACTGGAATTTATCATGGGTTTTCCGCTTATTGGAATTTTCCGGCCAACCCTGTCTTACTGGATCACGTGTTTTCCTAGATACAAAAGAAACGTATTTCTTTCGTTTGACGCGCATCATCGAAAAATCCGAGAATTTCTCGACGACTTTATGTAAATCATCATTGCAAGTACATTGCGTTTCGTGACTATTCAACGAACATGCGCGCTCGTTCGTCCCCGTTTGTTTCATAAGCCGAGAATACACCATGTATAAACATATACATATATACATGTATACTTATTGGATTATTGTAATTTTTTTTTTATTTTTACGTTTTCCCCTTACATTTAATATACATATACACAAGAGATGACTACACTTTATATCGGGATATTGCCGTAAATAACAAGGTTGTAATTTCACAAACCAGTTGGGTTGAGATACGAAATAAAATTACTCATCAATGCCACCCGCAAAACAACCGCTCCGTTTTACCGACGATTATCTGCGCGATTCGAGGATGCGCTACGTTATTTACGGGTCACGACCGATTGATCGGTCGATCGAATGATTGACTAACGACGACGATCAAGCGAATCTCCCGGGTTTCGTTTCGTGTCGTACGTTAAATTAAATTCAGTCTTGCGCGCGAAGAGAAGTGCGCATTCGCATCAGCGGTGAGACTAACTTCGGTGAATAATTTTACCCGTCGGAACAGGCCGACGTGTGCGCATACAATAGATGACATGCAGTTGCTCAATTAAGACCTAAGCGCAGCGTTAGAATCTGTGTGCGTCGTATTGAAATGAGATCATATACCGAGGATCATTTTAACAAGGGCCGGTTTTAACATAAGTACACAATGTTTTTTACCGTGCACACGATAGAATGCACCAGCGAAAGAGAAGGAACGTTGAAACGCGACCATTTTTGCCCTTGAGCTTCCCACGGTGAACTGTCTTTTCGTTCCGACTGTTCGTCACTGATTTTTCGTGATTGCTCGCCTTTTGAGCCGATATTACTTCGTATCACCTGCGACTTCGTAATCGTTCCGAAATTACCGTCCCGACCGTGACTGAGCGTGCGACTCGCCCGAAAGCGCACGATCTTCCGGCTGGATCTTGCGCTTTCGCGAGACCACCGGTCTCATTCCTACCATTGTAACGCGCGAATTCTCCGTTGCTACTTTCGGTACGACAATATCCTTAAACTTCGAAGGGCTTCTTCGCCGAGGTCGGGATCACCTTCGACATCTCCAACGCGGGCACTGCGTACTTTTTCTTCACGCAGTGCACCTCATGCATGAGTCCCCTCTTCGTCTCCAGACTTTTGTAAGTACTGTACACCACAAACCAGATATAGAAGTTCGCGACCACCACGCAGAGGACGATCATACCTGAGGATATTAGCCTTCGTTAACAGATACGATATATCTGACGTTATACGCGAGATAATTTCATAAATATATCAAATAACATAGCCTGAAGCGTTTTGTTTGAGAAGATTATAAGCAGCGCTGCCATCCAGTTGTCGGAATGGAAAAAGCGAAACAATGAATATTTCTTGGCAGAAAAGTGACCATTGACTTGGCATGAAAAGAACAAATGACGAGAAAGACTTCTCAAACATCCAAATAGTGACCAAAAGTGACATTTTTTGTCAAATTATGAGAATAACTAAGGTAATTTAAACAAAAAAGTAACACCTGTTCTTGGTCTTGCCAGGTTTGTCTTTCGATAACTTTACATGTAACGAATTATTTTCATAACAAGGAAAAACCAAAGGCATGACCAATAAAATACAAGTACGTTTTTGGAGCATTTTTATTAGGAGAAACGGCGAAAGTATATACAGGTTGTTCCTTAAGCACCTAGCCGTACTCAAGGGGACGATTCTTTGATTCATTTCAAATAAAAAAGTTTACATAAACATGTGACCTAAGAGGCTTAGTTTCTGAAATGCAACGTGTTTTCAATCAAATTTAAACGTGTGGTAATCTATCTGAAGTGCCAGTCACAAAAACAAAAACAGCAATAAAAAAAAAATATATATATAAACGTATATTTATATGAACTTTTTTACTTGAAATAAACCAAAGAATCCCCCCCCCCTTGAGTATAGCTAAGTGCTTAAGGAACACCTTGTATAGAAAGCCAATATTTTACAAATTTAACGGCAACTTAGGAAAAAAGTGACTATAGGTGACCCATTTTGGATGATATGTGAATTTTTTAACGATTTGTGAAGAAAAAGCGACGAAAGGATTTAAGTGACTGAATGGCAGCGCTGATTATAAGCCCCATAAGAGTCAACGTAAGGGAAAATTGCAGAAAAAGGTGAATTAACAAATCGTCATTATTAATTAGATTTTTCAAAAAAAATTAACGAATTAAAACCGTTAGTTTAGCTTCTTCGCGCAATTTCACCTTGCGTTGGTTACTACAGGACAAATGATCGAGAAAATTAGCCCCCCCCCGGGGGGGGGGGGGGTTTCATTACGCGACTTTCGTCGTCGTGACGTTGACTTACGTTCGTAAAAATTCGCTCTTCCGCCTAAGATAGCGATGAAGGGACAATTCTCGCCTACCAAGAATAGCGAGATCACGAGAGACGATATGATGATCATCATGACCACCATCCAGGGTGTCATACAGTGACGATTATTCTGAAAATAAAGCACAGGCCGTAGAAGAAACAAACCCCGGGCGCCTTGATTGTTAGCTCTTCCAACGATTCGAATTACCGTCAGGGTCCCGTATAGAAGCATGATCGTGCTGATGAAGTGGATTATCGCCATGACGAGGCCGCAATACATGGAATATACCGTTTCTGCAAATACGCAAAGATCGTCTTGTCGTGAAAATTGCGACAACTACCGATGATTAACGAGGGGGATGATCGTTTCTATCTTATTTCCGCCCTTTTCTTTAGCGTGCAATGAGATCTCTTTGTGCTACTGAGTGCAAATATTTCTGTGAATAACCAGTTGCGTTGTGATGCGCAAGGTCCATTCTTTTCGTGTTGAGGTGGTTCGACGAGATCTCCTCCAAAGCCTCCCTCTCGAGGGCGTCCTCGGTGTCTCTCACCACCATCTCCTGAATCCCTATCGCGTGCGCCATCGCCAGGACGAAGAATATCAGGGTGAATCCGGTTATGAACTGCGCAAGATTCACCGGGATTACTCTCAAGAAAACACACGGGCACTAGACTCATGCTGCAGGAGTTTTACCAATTGTAGTATCGCGATCAGCACCGTTCCCTGCTTCAGGTTGAAGAAGTGCAGAAAGTTGTTCAACAGTACGATCTTCATGTTGGCTGTTGCGGATTAACGCGAGTCGGTTCTCTCTAATTCCTCGAATAAGGTCCTAAAATATTCGCGTCCACACATTGTTTACATAAATCACCTATATATACAGGGTGGCACGACGGTAACTATCACCACTTTGTGTAATTAATTGTGCAATTATCTTCGAGAAACAGGAAGATTCTCTTAACTAGATACAGGTGAAAAAAGAGATATTTACTGAAGGTGGATCATGGCCATTAGTAGCATTGTAATTTATTCGATAAATTTTGCCTTGCTCATAACCAAAGTCATACCCAAAGTGATGATAATCATCGCTTCATCCTATATAGGTATACGTGTTATCACTTCGCATAAATCGTACTAGTCGATTATTACTGCAGCACACTTCACGTCGGTACCGACGGGAAAGAAGAAACAGAAGTGGGTGCGAAAGTAGGTGAAGCGCGTCGTCGTCGGCAGGTGTGCTCTGCGAGTGTTGGCGAATGGCCGGACGGTCGCGCGGTTCCCGATGGGAATCAATAACTCTCGCTGGCCGCGAAAACGAAACATGGAACGACCCGTGCGACGCGTGCCACCGTCTTCGTGTTGGCGTGCGCGACGGGATTCACGCGAGAGAGTGCGGGAGCGCGCGCGCGCGCGCGCGCTCTCGTCGTGTTGTCGTGCGAAAAACGCGAAAAGCCGCGGGTCGGTGATGCGTAATTCGGTCGGTGACGAGGCGAGGCGCCTGCGATGCGCAAAACGCGAGAGGGTGACTGTGACCGAGGGTGGCAAACGACACCCTTGCTTGCTACCGGGTCGCTCGACGCGGGCCACGCAGGCGCGCCGCGGTTTACATCGTATCCTTCGAGCTGCGTCTGCTCCGAATTGATCATCGTTTGTTTATACGCATTGTCGACGTCGATCAAGCCGATTGGGTGCTTAGCGTCGGTATTTTCCTTTAATTGAATCCCCCTCCCCCATTCCCCCTCCTCCACGACTCGATGGTGATTGCGTTTAATTATTACGAGTCAATGACGATAAATGACTCAACCTCGTTTATCTCCCCTTTGCTTTCCCACACGAACGATTAATTAAATGTGGATTATTATAGCTTCGAGGAACCGCTTCTTCAAATTTTGTCCGCGCAAGGGAACCGAGAAGAATCCGTGGAAGAAATGTTTCGTGCGGAGAGAAATCGAACGAAAAGCGCAGAAAATTGGGAAAAACCCGATTTTTCCGAGCTTTTAAAATTAGATCAATTATCGTGTTTAATCCGAGACCTGATTATCGTGAGAGTGATAATCCAGTAAATAAGAAGCATTAAATCAATCTTTTGAAACGTTTATTTTATATGGATTTTATAAACATTTTAACATAATATTCCTAAATATTAAACGTTACAAAATATTTTTACGTTACGTTTTCAAATATTATATATATATATATATATATATATATATATATATTCAAAAAAAAAAATATATATATATAATTTATTACAAAGTTAGTTTATTACCATAATGTTTTATAACATGTTTTCAAATCTATAATTTTTAATGTACATAATATTAAGAACTATATATTGAAAAACGTTACATGTTATAAAATATCATATTTTACATGTTATAAAATATCATCATCTAAATAACACTGTGTTAATAATTTCTTGTTTACTGGGGATGTTCGATGAGCGTATGGGTTCCCGACGGGATTTGAATCGTGAGGTGAAAAGAGGGCCCGCTTATGAACCGCCGTCGAAGTTATCGCACGTCCGTTCGTTGCGGGTCAAATAGCTCGCGATGTCGAATTCCGATTTGAAAGTTAGTTCGATCGAGTTGAGTCATCTTCCCGAGTAGTCATAGAAACGCGACGCGCCTCGTTACGGCGTTAGATTAGCCGAGGGTGGGATGGATGAGCGTGTGCGTGATTGTCGCTTCGGCGAGACGTAGCTCGTTCACGACAGTTCATTCGGCAATTGACGCAATCGTACGCGCGTAATCCTCGAAAGCCCGTCGGCGGGACCTTCGCCGGGACCTTCGGCGAGAATCAATGGATCGAAAGTACCAGAAGGTCGGTCTCGGGGTGGGCGCGATTCACAACCCCCCGAGAGCGAAGTACAGCGAGGACACTCGAAATCTAATTAAGCGTGAGTAAATAACTAGGCCGGCCGCATTATTAAGTTACATCGGACGTTCCGTTGAGCGGCTCGACGGGAGATTCGAGTTTTTCTCTCCTATGCCACTTGGAATTCAATCTTAACGTCTGGCAATTTTAAACGTTAGTGTTAATGGAGGAATCTAAGTTAACAATGTTGCAAAGGAAAACGATTCAGGAGGCCGTAGACAAGGGCGAGTCTTTACCGCCGTCCATCGATCGGAAGAAAACCAAGGACGCTGATAATAAGACGAGCGAACATTATTGCGTAAATATCGTGACATACTGCGGAGAAACACGGTGAAAAAACGGTTTGATATTCCCGTGGTGCTTTGCCCGACAGGTTAAAGCGCCGAGTGCCTGGAGGAGACGCTCGCAGGACACGATTATCAGCAGCGGCGCTTACGAGAGGGAGCAATTCAGGAGAACAGCGCCTTTACGTAAAAATGACGAACAATTCTTCACATATTGCTCGTCCCTTTAAGCCCCAAGCATCACAATCGTGATGATCAGATATTGTGATACATAGTTGCTACAGATCTGAAAAACCGAGAAGAGTCATGGAAACTTAAATTGGTCAGGGAAAACCTAGAAAAGTTCAGGGAAAGATATAAAAGAGTTTGGAATTTCGAATTCTTATTATAAAGAGTATTTATCATTTTTTAAAAATAATATATCTAACATTTACAGTCAAATGCGACCAAAATTTGCTCAGCACTTTACAAATCATCTTTTATGTATTAAGATCGTGGCACATAGAAAAACTGAAGCAGTAAGAGAAGTGACCAATCACAGTCGATTATTCTTCGACCGTGAAGAGAATAGTAGAATGTGATTGGCAAGTTTTATTCGGCGTTTCAATCGCCTTTCTCCGTCTTAACTGTATTTTTTTCCAATACTCATTTATTTTTGGTTGGCTTGAACTTGCATTATATCATGCTGTTGCTAAACTTCTAGGTTTATTTAAATTTAAATTGCTCCTAATAATATAAATTATCTTTCTGAAATCCCTGCTTCTAAACGTTAATATTTAAGATTACATATTCATGAAAAATTCTTCACTGTCGTCTAGAAAACATGAAAAATTCAGGGAATTAAAAAAATTCATTTTCTATGGCAACTCTAAGTGATAGTCTTCGAGACCCACGTAAGAGAAACATTTTTTTTTAACGATTTCTCCCCAAGATTTTCAGATAGTTTTGAAAGGAAAATAGCACTTAAAAAAGTTCCTAAGTAAAAAATATTTATGGCCTTAAAAGGGTTACTCGAGAATACAAAACATGCAAAACAACATGGTTCAATTTTCGTTTTCTCACAAATAGCCAACAAGGACAAGCAGAAACGTCACTTAGCTTGCATGATGGCTTTCGGCAAGGATATTCCTGAGACCCCTCATGGTCCCAAGATCCTTCACCGAGCCAGACGAGAGCCACCAGCAATACCTGAGGGCGTGGATCCCCTAAACGAGCGTAAGTCATAATGAAATAACGTCAAGATATCGCGAAAACTCGGAGAGGGGGGAACAAATTTCTCATGTATAATTATATATTAATACATGCATTTATATATAATCATATAATTGTATATATATACTACCACTTAATATATAATTATATCATCTGTGTGTGTGGAAAACTTTTCTCGGGAACGTAGAACGTGAGATGAATTCGGAGCGTGTCGCCGACAACACACGCGATCGTGTTTCGCCTTGTTTTTCACAGTGGTCGAAGCGATTCAGGAGAGAATGGACTTTTTGAACGACATGGAGAGCCTCGGGATGGAGAAGAAGTATCAGCCGATAATACAGCAGGAGATAGCGCAGAAAATACGGTTGCTTGAATTAATGGATAAGCAAATGCCCGAAGAGACGCGAAAGAAGATCGCGGGCTTCAAGTACAAGAAACCGCCGCCAAAGCCGTTCCCGATGGAAGACTTGGACGAAAGTTGATCTCCGCAAATCGCCGTCGTGATGTGAATTGCGTGCGATTGCACATCATTTTCAGCCGCCTCATAAATTGCGAGTAATCTCAACAACGGGAAACGTAAAACGTAGCTCGAATATTACCGGCGAAGACATTTATTCCCGCATTCGGGATTGATCCTCCGAGTAGAATATTTCTTTCCTTTCGGGTTCTGCTTTTTAATTGTAAAAGAAGCTATTTATTCATAACAATTATTTATCGTACACATAATTTATACTGTAAGGCACAAATAAATACGAACCTGTGAGTTTCATCATCTCCGTGTTGATTTCTTTGAGTACAATTTATTTCATGCGGGAAAAGCTATTTACTTACAAATATTTCTTTATCGCACATATATCTTGTCTATATATGTTACATAACGGAATATAAATAAGCGCGGACTCGTGAGTTTCGTCGCGAACATCCTCGCGATTCTCCTTGAGACGAAGCCTTCGAGCTTCGCGATATCTCTCGGCCATCTCGTAAAGTCCGCGCGGCGGACCGGCGCGTCCGTAGCTTCTCGCGGGCTCCGCGAGGGGTCACGTCGGTCGCGCGCGAACCTCGCGTTCCAGTTTGTTCCAGTTCCACACCGTCCGTCAGTCTTGCGCTGTACCGCGGTGGCGTGTGTTTCGCGTGGATGTGACACCGCGTGCGTCGTCGTGCTCAGGAAAGCCCATCGACGTGTCGCGACGTGTCCGAACGTCGTTCGTTCGCTCGCGAGTGTGCGAGCCGCGCGCGAGTGCGAGTGTGCGCGGTCGGCCGCGTTTCAAAATCGTCGAGGCGCGCGCGAGACCGGAACCGGAGTCGTCGTCTAACCTCAAAACGGGCCGCCGTCGCCCGCGACGTTTGACCCTGCCGAGGCGTTCGCCGGGACCGCCGATGATCCACGGATGATCCAACATGGCGTCGACCGATCTGTCGTTCGGTAAATGATGAGCCTGCGAGGCCCCGTAACAGTCCGTGACAAGGCCTCCCGCGAGGTCAACCGGTTTGCGGGAGAGAACGGCGAGCTGTCACCGCGTCTCGCCGGCGCGACGCCGCGTCGAAAACCGCCTCCCGGATGTTGCGCGCTCTTTTCTTATCACGCCTAATCAAAATGTGGGACAGATCGGCCGGATGTCTCGCCTTTTCTTCAGCCGAACCTCGAGTCTCACTATGGGATACGGTTTCTTCTTCTCTTCTTCCTTTTTTTCCCCCTTACTCGTCGCGAATCAGGCAGATTATCTCGCGCGTCGCGGTAGACGCGTATCCGTCGATAATCAGCTGATCTCCGGCGCGTTTGACATCCGGATCGCGCATGCATGGCCACGTCTCGTCGGTGATAACGGTAACGACACGCGATCGTCTCGTCGGCGAGTAGCTTCGCCCGATGGAGACCCGTTCTGTCCCGAGGATAGACTCCCGCGTTCGACTCTTGCGTCGGAGCTGAATAAAGACGCGATTTCTCAGAGCCTCGATATTGATATCGGCTGTTTACATAAGAGATACGTCGCAAGCGGATCAGAGGGGATCTCATCGCGAGAAAAATTCGCTCGATCACTATTTTTTTGCCGCAATATGCGCATTCTCAACATCACACGCATCAATGAGTCCTCTAATTGAGATTATGTTGCAATTCAGCGAATCATTCTAGAATATTTCACATATTTGCGTATTATTATTATTATTTGAATGAGATGCAGGCAGGAAAAAGTGCTGGAATCAAGTAAACTTATTGTTTCTGCAGTCAGTTATAATTACTTCCTTTTCAGTCTCATTTAAATCGAATATTTTATCATTTGAAGTAGATTTTATCTTGTAACAAATAATTACTTTGAACGCAGTCATAGCTTTAAATTTAAAAGGTTATTTATTAGAATTATATAATACTTCTTTCCGGTGAAGAAACTTAGTAGTTTTAAATTTCGATGTTTTTTGTCCGGGGTAAATATTTTCCAAAAATAAATTCCCAATATTCTCGATATTATGAATTTAATACTTATTTCGACTACTAGTAAATATTTACCATGAAGTATTGGAATAACCATTTTATTTGGATCAAGTAAATTTTACTTGAATGGTAGCACTTTTTTCAGCGTACAATCGGTCACAGAACGGTTGCAGCCATTTTTTTTTATATATTTCGAAACACGCAAAAATTACGACGAAACGAATCTATTATTCACGAACATGCGCAGTAAGTGGTCAGACATCTGTCAAAATTATATATACATACGTGATTTTGATACATACGTATTTGCGTATACCGTCTGCATCACTAGTTCAAGAAACGCACACACATATTGAGGCGTGTGAAGCGTGTATACGAGATTCTCACGGATTAGTGTGCGTAAATTTCTGGAACCGGTGCAGCGAGTTCGGTTAAAAAGGACAGGCCAACCGTTGACTGACGTTTATTGGGCAGCCATGTGAATTCCTTAAAAAGGTCAATTAATTCTCCACGTGGTACGAGTCCGAAATTGTACGAAGGACTGCCTGTTAAAGTCCAAACGCAAGATCCGCTCGCGCCAGGTATCCCTCCTCGTGAATCTCGATTGACACATTCGCACGCTAATTCGAGATGATAAAAAGCTACGGGGACATCTCGGAACTCGCGGAGGGGCTCTCCCGTCGCGCGTTTAGCGCGGTGGAAAAACACGGAGAAAGTGAGCTTCCTTTTCAACAAAAGCGCGTCCGTTTACGGAACACGAGCGGCGTGTGTTCCGCGGTTTCGTCACGCGCGTTCGCGACGAGAGCGGTCGCGCGCGGCTAGAAGCCGCATGGCTGGGAACGACGGCCGCCGCTCTCGAAGGCCTCTCTCGTTAGGCTCGCTCGCGCGACCGGGGATCTTACGTCTTTCTCTCCCGCACAAATGCCAGGCTCCATACCGGCGTTCTACAGAGAGGTCCACGAGAAGATCTGCTCGCCCACCAGCGGCAACGTGGAGCGCGAGGTGTTCAAGTCCCTGCTCGTCAAGTCGCAGCTGAGCAGCTCTGTACTCAGCCAGGTACGGCCGACCTCCCTCGATTTTTCGACGACTCGATATCTCGGTTTCTTCGCGGACAATCCTGTGTTCTTTTCTTTCTTCCTCTTAATTTCTTTCCTTATGTCACTTTTCGATGAATATCGAATAACAGGAACGTTACGTCGGTATTGTCATTTCCCGGTCAACAATGTAACTGATGGGTACGGCCGGTCACGGAAAGGTCGCTTTTTCTTGATCGAGTTTCGCTTAGCATTTCGTATCCGATGGAAAAATAAGTCTGGTCTTTTTCGCCGAATTTGCCGCACTAGTCTGTACTAGTTCCCTTCCCCTCTTTCTTTCACCAGGTCTTAAATATATATCTTTTTTGTCGCTTTTTAAATTTCCACAAGTGTACACAGTTCAGCGAGAAAGAACAGACTTTGTGTCTCTCTTGAGAATGACTAAAACACACAATTTTCCTATTCGACACGGGATGCGTTCCCGAAACTTATGAAAAAAGTGTTGCAATTTGATTGCTTCTTCTGATTGACCATACACACACACACAACAGGTATTATATCACACGGAATAAACAATTCCGCTGGTGTAACTGAATTTTTCATTATCTGGGGACCAGATGAAAATCTGGTTGTAAGAATAAAAAGATTCCCGTAGGAGGTTTTCATTCAGCATTCATAAATTATCAATACTGCGGGCCCGATTGTTTACCGAGTCATTGTAACGAAGACACCGCTCGTTTTCTCGCTTGGCGAATGAGTCCGTTAAAAAGCAGACGAAGCGAAGGCTGAACGAGATGCGAAGAAGGCGTTCCCCGTTGGATTGTTACAAACAAGTCCATTACTCCGTAGAGTAAACCCGATAGCGAGTTTAAAGCGCGGCAGGTGTGGTGGCTCTCGTGGGTTTCATTTTCCAGCGTATAACGCGACCTTTCCCAAGCGGAACCCCCCCCCCCCCCCCNACCGGTGTACAAGGTGTCGTGGAAATTTACCGTAGCGCGAAACTTATTCCTCGCTGAGCCGGCGAGGAGTTCAGCGCTTCTTCGCTTCGTGGGGGAGGGAGATTCACTAGACTTGTTTGTTGCGACGCCTAAAATTATCGAAATTAGCCAGCGAGCGCTTCGTCCGCTCGCTTTTGGTTCTCGAGTATCTCACCATCGTTTTCAACATCACCTGCCAAGATTCTGCCTCCAAGTTCAATTTTTTATTCTGCAACACAGTAGGAGCTAAGATAACAAAATAAGTTCAATATATTTCGCAATTCTGACAATATAATTTATTCCTGCTTTGACCCTGATGATGTTTAAAATTTTCGTTTTCGCTGTGAAATATGTTAAATCAACACGCGGGTAAAAATTCAACGCGAACATTTTAACAAGGCCGAATTTCAACACAAGTACAAAATGTTCTTTTACCGTGTAGGTAGGCGTAAACTGTCCCTGAGAGCGTCAAAGTAACATAAAAATTTCAACTCGAACGACGCGGAAATACTCGGTTAATCCGGTCATTCATTCAGTATTCTAGCTGGAACTAATGACGAAGCATTTTGGACGAATGCGTATCGCGGCTGATTTTTCGGCGACCGCGACAGAAAAACGCTTTATGTGTCAGACGGAACGAGGGACGCGTCATCCGTGTGTCGAAACGCGTTTTGGTTGGCGATGCACTTACTGATTACGTCGGCTGGACGTCGATCGTGACGACAGAAGCGGATTGTCGCTGAATTAGCGAATTCGAGAAGATCAATTTGAAGAATCGCAACAACTCGCGAGACTTTTCGAGACTCGACGTTTAGCCGTCTGTTCGCGTCATACGGTGATTCAGATCGCGGGCGGTACCGTCGGTTAGGTGGGTACGCGCGGATTGCACTGAGAGACACAATTATCCTGACAGGATAATTCGTTAGGTCTTCAGCAACAAAGTGCTCCTCGTGTTACCGCGATGCCGTGCCGCACGCGTATGCATTTCGGCCGTTTAACGGTCGCGACGGCTCTCGCTCCTTCGGGGAAAATTGCCGTGACGATGCGTGTCATTTGCTACGATAATGACCAGCCAATTGCTTCTAGGAAGAATTGGTGCGCGCGCGTGTCTTTATTACTTATCGGATTCGAAATTGCGGTCGTGGAAAGGAGAAGCGGCGCGCAACTATGCGATACACCTTGCGTATTGTATGTACACAGAGGAACGGTTTCTTCGGATTTAATAGATCCGTTTGTTTGACTTGATTTTAATATAAACAACATAATTTAATATCAAATTTTGTTTAGTAAGTGAAAATATTATTTCACTGGAATAAGTAAATCGTATTGTTTGAGTACACAGTATTATTTAGAGGATATAATATTTGATTTCTAATAAAAAAAAATTATTTCATTATATATTAAATATTATTCCCACTGTGTGAAAGAAAGAAATTCTTTAATATTCTTTTAACACAGTGTTACTTCTTTCAAATAAATTATCACTTGCGACAACTATTTGAATGCAGAGTCGATTTACCATGGAGAAAGGTATTGAGAATGGACCGGACGTTTTGACTAACCCGGATACAACAACAGAAACATCTGAATTCAATATCATCGTTCACGAAAGGGACGCACAACCGGAAACAATATCGCAATTTTTGCTCTTCCGTTTGATTTCTACAGCTGCGGGCCGCCAGCTTGTCGCCGCACCTTCTCGCGTAATTATTGCACACCTCTTTTTCCCAGCGTTGGTATTCGCCGTTCGAAGTATCCGTCCAATGGGATGTTACGACGATGTTATGGAACGAGTTCTCGATTTGTGCTCGAGTTAATTTATCCATCACTTGTATTCCCGCGAGTCTCGCTATCGTACCGGCTATCAATTTATATGCGCGGTTTTCGCGTGATATTTTCCTGAAAACAATTCAAATGCCCTCTAGGCGCCATATCGACGAATGTTTTATCACTTCTAACAACACGCCCGTCGATGATAACGCGCGTACAGACGCCCCTTCGTAATGATATAAGATTACGTGGCAGGGTCAACTGTACCGTCAGTTCATACGCTCTGTTGTGCGCAACAACGTCATAAACTCGTTCGTTCAAATATATTTTCGCGAGACGACGCGATCTCGTTCATGCATTACGCCACTCTCTCGCTTTCTCTTCCTCTCCGATAGAAAATGCAGAATGAGGTAATAAATATTGCCATCTTGAGAAAATATCTCCGAAAAATAAAAATATCTTATTAACGAGTAAATGAAAAGATTGTTCAAAGGAAATATTATTGAAAAAGATTGACATTTATAGAAGGTGTTCGAAGTGATGATCATCTGTCAATGCAATTTCTGTTACATAAATTGTCTTCCTATTGCCTCATATTTTGAAAATATACGCGGAGAAAAAGATTTCTGTGGATTTGATAAAATTTCTTTAATCGAAACAAATTTGTCTTCTAGAATGAAGCAAACAGACAAATGTTTGACTCAACAAAGAGGATTGTTTGGTTTCTCAAACAATAAATATCTCTCTTCACGTTAAATCATATATTTCTTCTATATTTTCATCCAAATATTGCATAACGGTTGTCACAAGTAATCAATTATTTGAAAGAAGTAAGACTAGTAGAGTAGACAAGTGGAGTAACACTAAATGTTAGGAAAATATCAGAGAATTTCTTTCTTTTCAGTGGAACAATATTTAATATATAATGAAAAAAAATCTGTTTAACATTATGTCTTCCGAATAATACTTTGTTTTCCTTTCCAACAATATGGTTTACTCTAGTGAAACAACAATATTTTCGTTCGAACGAAATGATATTGTACTTGATATTGAATTATATTATTTATATTAAACAGTCCAAATTAACAAACACATATACTAAATCTGAAGAAACTTTTTCTCTGTGTGGTGATAGTTACTATCTCGCCCTATATACATATAAAAATTTCGCATGTAATATAACATTTTTATAAGAAGAGAGATAAGTCTTATAAGTTATCGCGCGAATGACATCACACGTCCTCGGGACGCCGACTTTGTACGAAGCGGAAACGCGCAGCATTCGATTCAGTCATGGTAAATGCCGACGAGTTTTTCCGTGTAGCTCAATCCCGCTCAATTACGAGTGCGAAAAATCACATAGAATCGCGCGCCGATCGTCTCCTATTGCGGCGTTAAATACATTTTCCGACCGTAATTCGCGCAAATCCGCGACGGGCTCCGGCCGGATTTATCGCGGGATTCGCGAGCTCGGGTTGCGAGGTGATTCCGCGGAAAGATCGCGGCTCTTCGCGACACTCAGAAATGTCACGTCGTATTGCGACGTCGCTCAAATTGTCCGTACCGTTCATTGTATTAACAACACAATCAAAATAGCATTCCGCAGGGCCGTGCCGAGATATTTCGCCGTCGCGAGCGGAATGACGAGGCTGCTGAACTGCCGGTTACTCCGGGATTTATATTGCGAATTTTTATCCGTGTCATCTACGGTCTGTCGTTAGGCTTGAAATCGCGAGGCTATCGATACCAAATATGTCCCCGCTCGTAGGATGATGAGAGTCCTGACTCAAATGCGGCCCTGTCATTATGTGATTCCGGCACTCTAACGGTAGACATTGGGGGTCACTATAAATAGAACGCCTCGGAGTGATACACCTCATTACACACGTGGGTAAAATATTTCCATAAAGAATATAGACAACGTGAATTACATTGCGCGGTCATGGATCGCTGATGTATGTTATATCCGATAATTCAATGTCGTTTAAGGCATTTCCTTCCCAATTACGCCGCTCGCGTTGATCAGTTTACGATCGACATTTGCGATCCGTTGCATTCTCCCGATTATCATTATAAAAATTAATAGTTAACAGAGATGCAGCTGTCGAAATAATCGAAAATTCGTTAACGGTGAGTCGACCTGTTCCACGGACTGTATAATTTCATCCCGCTCCGATTAAGCGTACGATTAATTCAACACAGATATTTCCGCGGGCATCCCTAACTCGTTTCACGCACGTCGAAGCACACGTTGAAAACAAGTGCAACGCGACAGCCGGCCGTTTTAACATACGACACACGGCACGTCTTCCTGTTAGGTGAAATCGTTTTGATTACCGTCTTCCGCATTGGCACGCAATGTATAGGCACTTTTATATCTAAAAGCGACCCGTTTATACCGCTGAAATAAAACTCTCTCTGTTCGTTCCTGTCGCCGTCGCGCGCGAAACGCGTTACGTTTCGATCACCGTATTTCCACGCGCGTCGCGTTTCCCTCAATTATTCTCAAACAATTTTTCACGAATTTCAAACACGCACACACACACGTGGATAATGGAAGAATGAAAAAGAACTTTCGTTGCGGCGTGTCGATCGATATTGAATTCATAAAGTTCTCTTTGTCCCGCATCGCGATGGAATTTGTTCCAAAATGGACCTTTTCATCAACGAGACCGTATCTCTGGAGTCTCGATTGCGCGGCCAGTTTTGTCGTTAAGATTCACGGACGGTCTTTCTCGTGCGCGTCGTCTTCGCGAATTACATATTACGGGTACGCAAATGAAAACTAATGACGAGTTGTTGGGCGATTCTGTACCCCCCCCCCCTCCTCCCCCGCGCATAATTATCACGCGTAGAGACGTTGCGTGACGCCGGGCACGACTCTCGTTACACCGGGGCTCGTTCACGTGCGTCCTTACACGGATATTATGCGCGTTTCTGTGTTTGTGCGACTGTGCATCGAATTTTATCGACACGAATGTCAGTACACTCCCACGTCCTCCAGCGTTAATTTTCTTTTCTCTCCTTCTCCCCCCCCCCCTCTCTTTTATCTTTTTTCTCTCTTTTCTGCTTCTTTATCTCGTTCAACACGTCTCCGCGAAAATACGACGAATTTTTTTTTTCTTAATTGATGGAAACGTATTAACGTTTAATTATGTATGTAAATTACAACGCAATGTTAACATAATTCGCAGACGCGTCCGTGTTTAGCGAGAGTTATGTAAAGAGGTCGGATGATACTATAAACGTCGTTAACGTTTTTCGGAACGAATTATCCGTAATGTGATGATAACGGATCGTGTGTGCATATGTGTTTTCAGTACATCGATGCACCAGATAAGAAAGTACGATATCACCGCGATATCTTTCCATGAGTGTAAATGCGATTACTGTAGGCCGCTTGAAAACATGTCCTTGCATAATCTATTGCAGTCGGCCGTTAGAAATGGAAATAAATATTACACTGAGAGAAAAGAAAATGATTTATATTATTGGAATTATAGTTATTTTCCGCGTCCGCTGTATCTCGTTATTATTTATCGCTTATTCTTCATGCTTCTTCCCATCGTGAACACTTTCATCTCCTCTTCCCGTCGGGAGAGAGGAAAAGGGAGATAGAGATATCGTTATCCTGATTTCCTTTTCGTTGCCCCTCGTTATTTACGAGCTCTCTAACATTCTTCCGACGAATGAAACACGCATTCGTGCGTGCTCACGCGGCCGCGGCGCCGGACTCTCGCTGTTTTGCTCGCGATTCGCGCACGCGGAATGGGGAATCTATTATCGTCGAGTTTTCCTCCCGCGACTGCTTGAACTTGATCGGCGATTAAGGTTTAACGACACTCGGGAGAACAAGCAAAGGGTGCACGCAGTGTGGCGTGACTACGATTTCGCTCGTCTCGCGCTATATTTTCCACACTCGTATCAAATTTCTCTCCCCTGCCGAGTGTATCAGCGTATTCTTGTTTTATCGTGAGTGCGAAGAAAAAAAGTAAGGGAGCGTAGGAGCTGTAAAAAATGAGCGATTGTTACATGCGAACTTGAAACATCGGACGTTTATCTCGCCGCATTTGACTCTTTGTAAATTTAAATTTACGTATTTGTTATCTGTTTCTACTTTACTGATATAAAAGAGAATTTATAATTAAACGTATTTCTTTAATAAATAACTGACGGTTGTTAGAAGAAAATATAATATATTGTGTAATATATCCAGGTTCTTGATTTTATTTTTCTGTATTAAACCTTGTATTTTCGTTAATAAAAATATCCCTGATAAACGGACGAATTTAAGGGATTTTTGGTTTTTCTCTCTCACTTTTTGTTTATATCTTTGAGTACTTTAGCACTCGACACGAGTCCGCGCGCACTCGTTTCCTGCGCTCGCTGCGGTCTCCTCGTGTTCAGGCGAAGGTGGAGGCAAAGGAAGCCAGGGTGTCGGAGATAAGAGAGCGCGGGAAGGGGGAAGCATGGGTGCCGTGAGGAGAAGAGAGACGCGAGTGAGAATGGAGGCAGAGGTGGAATGGCGTGGCAAGGTGGAAAAATCCACGGAATGCAGTTACTTTCATTTATGGCCTAATCCTTAGGCTTCACTCACAGAGTACCGTTGCACCGTTACTCGGACGTGGACTACGACAACGTGTATATAAGCTGGCGCTTCCTCGGCTCTCACGTTTTTCTTCTTCAATTTTCTTTTTGTTAAAGAAGAAAATAAAAACGTCGCTCTTTCGCAGAACTCGGGGATAATCGTTTCATCTACGAGCGAGATTATTTAGTAAATACGAAAAATACACAGAAAACGTTAATTTATCCGTTGCAGTACTGCGACGAAAAAAAAGCGCCCTTAGAATTTTCATGTGTATTTTGGACACACAGCGAACGCTAAATATACCTTTTTGATTCTGAAGTGGAAACGAAGCTATATGTGACGCTCACACTGAGAAAAAAAGCGGTTGGGTCTATAAAATCGGCGATCATTCTCGTTCAAAGAAACATTATGTCGATTGGACAAATTACGCGTTGGTGCAACAATATGTTGCGTTATAGTTGCTGACCAAATCGCAATCGTTGAATCAATTGATAATTCATTACAGGAATTATATAATTTGCTCAGTGGATTAAACGTTGCGTTTGGAAAAATTGCGTTCATTTAAGCAAAATTTTGTTGACTCAGTTACAATTTTTCACATAAAAAAAAGAATTCGAACTTCGAGTTAGAAAAACACATTAACGCGTTCTCTGTACGTCCAAGATAAGGCGCCAGGGCGCACTCGAGGCGATCAACCTTCAAAGTGGTTTCTCTGTTCTGCCTCAGATATGGGAGCTGGTAGACAGCAAGACGGGTTATCTCACGAGGAGCGGACTATACAAGGGGCTCGCGCTCGTCGCCTTCGCTCAGCAAGGGAAGCAACCGAGCGACAAGCTGTTGGAGAATTCCGAATCTCAAGGTTAGTCGAATCGGCCTTTTAAAGTTACCCTCTCTCCTTCCCCGCAGGAGACGAGCGAATCTCTTGATTTCTTTCGTCGGCTTTTCTTTTAATTTCTTTGGAGTATAAATAATTAATGCATAATTTAACACGTTCGCCACCAGGATTCATTTGGGTGACTCTTTCTATAGACCACTTCGTTCTTTTTTTTACGCAATTATTTAAAATAGTCTTAATTTTATAATGTGGGTACGAAAAAATTTTTTTTTCATGTTCACGTTAGAAAATACTATTTTAAACAATTACGTAAAAATCACACATATATGAAAGCAAAATGTCACGCTGTGACGCTAGCGAATATATTAATATTTGGAAAGGAATAGGATTGTTATAATATTAATAATTAATTAATTAATATTAATAAATTAAATAATTCAGAATAGTTTGATTATTCTGAAGATCTATTTACGTAAAAAGCACGTATACTGAGAGAAAAAGATCTTAAAAAATCAACGATATGATGGGATAATTTAACTAGCGGCATTGTTTTATGTGACCGAAAGTCAATGAAAGAAACACCTATTCTGACCGAAGTTACTTGACAAACATTTTTTTGTCGACCTATGTTATTATCCTCTTATAGTTTAAACATTCGTCTCGATATCCAGCGATCAATTCCTATTAGCCTAGTTTCTCTTATTCGTTCTTTTCATTTCTTTTCTTACAATCTCTCTCTTTCTTTCTTTCCCTCTTTCTTATTACTCACTGTAAGCCTCGCGCGGCCGCTTTTAGATCGAAATGCACTGTGCGTACATAAGTACGTTCGCACGTGAAATTCGCTCCACAAAACGCGAATTATATACGAACAATTTCCCGTGTCGTTGACATCGCACCGCGTGTGCTCCGTGCATAGACGTAACACTGGAAGTGGGTCTCGAACAAGTCTAGTATCGGACAGGTGCTTAGATAATGCTAAAACGCGTCTCAGGTTATATCGAGAGAGACTGATAGGCGTCGCTCATATATCGGAGTCGTTGCCCGGTTGAAATCATAATCGTTTTGTTTACCGCTAGAAAGTTGCGTACCATTATAGTGTCACGAGAAAACGCACTACGGCTCTACGTCGGAGGACATACCGATGATCGCTGCTGTTGCTGCTGCGTAACACGTGTGCACGTACTGTCCCCTTTTATTTGCATAGCAAAGAAGGAACGGAAATATATATTTACCTCGGCCACGCGCATTCATTGTAAAGCAGTGAAAACCACGTCACTTTTTGTCCGGCGTGTCGCGCGCGCGCGGTGTGTGTGTGTGTACCGATGAAATATTCTATATTAACTTTCAATTATACTTTGTTCTCTCTATCCTCCTTTTTTTTGCAAGAGAGTAACTATAAAAACGGACGTTCATGCTGCTGCTGACGATTATAACTCTGCGCTGCGTTCATATTTCTCCGAGAAAATCGCACAAGTCGCGCAAAAGAGCACAAGTTATTATATAATAACACCGAGCTATTTCCAATCGAGTTTATAACAGCCCGGCAAAATGGAAAAGAACAAGCGGCCTTTTACCTCGGGGCACGGAAAACTTGCCGTCCGCAAACAATGATGTCGATCGGAGTTTGTTGTAAAACATTGAATTACAGTTTCGTAACACGAAAGCGGCTTCGCGATATTCGCACGTCGACGGCGCTCACAACACAAGTACAGAGCAGGGTCGAATTATTTAGAAAATATTTTTTACTAATTTGTTTTTTTTTGTAAGTAATTCAACGTTTTCTTACTTTCTGAAGAATGCAATTTTTCTCAATACTTTTCACAACTACACCGCTCCCATGCCTGCCTGCCTTATAATTAATAATTGAAATCATTAGAAATGAGTGAAAATGAGCTCTGTTGCTTCGAACCAAGGACCGTCTAGATTTTGTATTCGAGGCACTCTAAGGCACAGGCAGGTAACACCGCAATACGCAGCGAGGTATCGTGGGTCAGGGGACTTTTTCGGTATCGAGGTTGCGACGGACGATTATTTGCCGCAGCGTAGGTAGGAATAACAATGCCGCGTGATGTCGCTTCGAAGCCCCGGAGTCGGCCAAATAGAACGTATCGGAGAGGACTCGGAAAGGAGGCACGCGGGACGGAAGAAAACGCGCGTCCGTTTCCTCGGCCGTTGTCCCACGGATTCGTGGATTTTCTCCTCCTCGGCCGAAACGGTAACGGCACTGCAGGCCATCGGCCGCCGTGAGAAAAAGCAATCGCTGAGCTATCGAGCCGTAGAGCGATCTTTAGAGTGATCTATATCTTTTTGTCCGCGATCAGGATAACAATAGAAACAATAGAAACTAGGACGTTCGCATACTTAAAAAGGGGACAAGACCCGAGTCACGTGTAATAGGTCGCTTTTTGTCAAGTGTGTCAGCGTGTCGGCCGCAAGGGCGCGAACGATATTCATAGAGAAACGACAAAGAGAAATATTCCCGGGAGATATTTCCACGAGACACTTGCAAAAGTTCGTTGGGTTTCAAGCCAGATTTTTTTATCAAAATGTTGACCGTCACGGTGATCACCGGTGGTGGCGTAACATTACCGCCTCTCAATTTACGTGTAGAACGTAATCAACGAATTAACTATAACAAATAATGCATAACACGCGTGTGTAAATTAAATTAAATATATATATATAGGATGTCCTAGACCAACAGGAACAACCTTCGTGAGAGCATAGAACGGATTGAAGCGAATAAAAGAAGTCCTCCATCATTTTGCGTGTTGTTTGCAACATTTCTGTCCACTTCAATCCGTTCCACGTCCTCACGAAGTTAGCCCCGGTTGGTATAGAACACCCTGTATATAACATGTAACAAACGAGCTAATAAATATATGCGTCGCGAATTGCGTCTATTTGCGTGTACTTGGTGATTCGATCTCGAGTTGAGCATTGAAATAATTCATAGGAATCAGGGCGGTAGTCAACGTATTTATTAATAGGAAAGAAACAGAAGATTGTGCATCGCTCGATGAAAATACCCGTCATCGTTATTCATCGCATTCTGCCATTTTTCAGATCACTGATTCTGTGCCTGTAAACTAACTTATCTTTCGAGCCGATGAAATCATCGACGATCCGATGAATCTTTGCAAGCTTTTGATATTTCGACTAAAAGTCACAATTATCAAATTGATTGGAAATGTCGTTCGGTTTAGCGAAATCGTAAATATTCAGTCGCTCTGTAGAATTGGAACCTAATTCGTTCCAGCTAATACGGAACCGATCGATTTCTCTCGCTATCTAACAATCGTCGCTGCTGAACGCGACCGACAACAGCTGTTAAATCGGCAAGTGCGTTCCTGATGCGAAAGGACTTCTTCTTATTTTCCCCTTCGCAGAATTACCCGTACCCGTTCTGGGCGATTTGTCCGAAGTGACGCTTCTCGCGCAGAGGCTGCACAGAGGCAGCAATCCCGCCAAGCTGAACCTCACGTACTCGGATATTTGTAATCTCGATACTATCGAGGTCAACCTCGTTCCCGAGAAGAAGGGAATCTTCTTGAAGCACGTGGAGTATCAAGTCACTAGCAAGGTATCTTCGGCTTTACGTTTTCGCTCATACACAGAAGAAAATACTAGATTCAAAGAAATAATTACTCAAATACTCTTTGGCACATTTTTACTCGGATTAAATAAATATTACTTCGATGTGATTTAATTTTTTCTCTACATTCAACTGAAATTTACTTGACCCTAGTAAAAATCAGCTAAAGAGTATCGGAGTAGTTATTTATACTTCAATCTAGGACTTTTTCTTCTGCATACGAAATAACTGCTATACGGCTATTAATAAGATCATATGTGATATTTTTACGTTGTTTAACTTCATTCATAGCGAGTATCACATCGAAATGAAAGAATGCAAGCTCACGTGAAATTGTCTACTCTTTTAGAGATTCAATTCTATAGTGTACAGGCGTTACAACGACTTCGTGTCGTTGCACGAACTTCTCTTGGCACGGTTTCCTTATAGACTGATACCCAAGTTACCGCCGAAGAAAATTGTAGGAGGTGAGTATACGCACACAAGACTAATATTTTTCGATGATTTAAACAATCGCGCAAGTTTAACGCAATTTTTATCACTTTATAATTCTTTTCATCAAAATGCTCGGGATATTATAATTAATGGTTACTATTATAATATCGAAAACATATTGATATCATTATTTAATCATCATGAAAAAATTACAATAATGTCATAACATAAATATTATAGCAATGATACTCTAAATATTACAATATAACGTATAATCTTGTAGCGGAATTTTTATTTATACATTTAATATTATAAATAATAATTAGACAACTGACAAGGAGCGCAAGAATCCCTGGCGAAGAATTTCTCATTTTTCTGCTTCCTCCGCAGCGGACTCGCAATTTCTCGAGGAGAGAAGGCGTTCTCTCCTGCGATTCCTCACGCTGATCGCCCGCCACCCGGTGGTGAGCAAGGACCCGATCGTGCAATTTTTCTTCACGTACACCGGCGAGGAGACGCAGCACAAGATCCGCGAGGTGTTCAGGAGAGTGCCGGACGAATTCGCTACGTCGGAGCTGTCGTCCCGGGCGAAGGAGCTGGTGCCGCCCGAGACGCTGACCGAATTCGCGAACAGCCGCGATCAAATCCGAGTGATATTGCTCGGGATCTCGCGGCTGAAGAACATCGCCGATTGCCTGGCGATCAGGTCGCATAGTTACGCGGTCGACATGGCCGAGCTCGGCACTCAACTGAGCAACCTGGCTGCGGAACCGCACGGAGCCAGTTCCTGGGTAACCGGTGGCTCGACTATCTGGCAAGATATGAAGAAAGGCTTTCACATCATTTCCAAGTAAGAACTGGACCTGGATACCGATAACGAAAGCGTTCGTTGTTTAAAAGCGTCTCCTAATATTTTATGATTTTACGATCCACTGGACTGTTCGATAAATTCGTAAGGATTTCTGCGAAGGTTTCAACCGATAGTTTTATAGTTGGAGTTTATTCAGTAATGTATTAAATTTGGCAAGTCATCGAAGAAAAAAGAAGAAAAAAAAGACAAAAGGTTAAAAAATAAAAAGATAAAAGTGCCTCACTATGTATCGGCTTTGACTTCCTCGTAAAAATCTTTACGAACTTATCGAAATAACGTAATATTTTGTTCGTAGGAATTTTTGCGAAGATGTCAAGAACGATACACTTATAATTTGGCATGACTTTATTCAGTGATGTATTGAATTTGGCAAGTCATCGAAAAAGAAACAAAAAAAAAAAATAAAATAATGCCTATCCGCGAGAGATCGGCTTTGGAGTTTCTCTCGAAAAATCTCGACGAACTCGCTGAACAGTTCAGTATTTTCTAATCCCCTTCTAGAGACTGAACGACGCAAGTGTCTTTAGTTTGTATGAATAATAGAGAAATATTTTGGGGCTAATTTTCTCGAAGAATGCGTCTTCAAAGAAGACTTCAGAGAACTATGCGTCTGTCGTTCGGTTCCCTCGCAAGTGTGAGTAACGGTGGGGGAAACGGGTGAATGAACATTTCAGGGAGTTCAACCTGCTGTCGACCCGAGCGCTGCAGCAAGCGGTCAGGGAGGAGACCATGGTCTGCGAGAGGCTGAATCTCCTGCTGGATATTTTAGTCGCGCACAGAATGCTCTGTGAGAGGCACGAGCGTGGCGTAAGCGCGGATCATCAGCGTGCCTTATCTACGATGTTGTCGCTCAAGAAGCGGCAGATGCAAGGAGTTATTCGCGGGACCGACGTACGTATCTGCTTAAGATTCATTAGCCCAGCACACCGTAATTCTCTCTCTCTCTCTCGCTCGCTCGCTCGCTCGCTAGCTCGCTCGTTTGTTCGTCACGAAATCTGCGCGCTCAACGCGCAATTTTACCGGCGGCAATTGTGGTAATCGCGTTTTCGCAATTGCATAATTACTCGGCATCAACTTAAGGCAGTATAATTTGGCGCGGAGAGCTCATAAGGAGCGCAGTTCGTAATTTCCTACGATCTTACGCAATCTACGAATATACGCGTGGCGCGCGAGCGTACACCTAATTTCGGCGAAGATTCACGGCGATTTTATCGCGCTCTGCGCAGGCCGACACCGTGGAGTACCTCGAGAACAAGATGGTCGCGCAGGAATCGGTGATCGCCAACGTCGAGCTGAGGAACTGCTTTTCGTTACACTGCCTGCACATGGAGACCCAATTGGTCCACGCGCACCTGGAAATACTCGCCACCGTGTTACAGAGTCTCGTGAGCGTGCAAATACGCGGGCACTCTGAGGTGAGATCACTCGTCTGTACTTTCGGCTACGGCCACGCTTTCGTTCCTTACTAATTAATGAACGTATCCATTTTGCAAACGAACCCGGAGATCCCGGTGAGTCGTTGCACGAAAATGATGTTGGAATCGACGATAGATATTCCGAGCTCGAATCTAATTCGAAATTAATTTCGAATGAAACTAGTTTGAAATTAATCTCGTTTGTCCCACGTATATGTGGCGTCTGTTAGATTTACAGTATCGCAGTTCTTTTGTTATTATCGTTATTTTATTATATTAGATTATTATATTTTATTAATATTATATTTATTTCATATTATACTTTATGATTTTATTTATATTTATTATTATTATTATTATTATTATTATCATTATTATTACTATTAGAGGCTTGCGAAAGTTCATCGGATCATCGATGATGTTTTTGACTCAATGTTGAGTCTTGCAGACGCGTAATCAGACGATTAGCTGATAGATGAAAAGAGAGGGATGGATAACGATGCGGACATTTTGATAAAATGTGGCGTCTATGTCTTCGTCACTATTAAGAAATATGGCAACGAATCCGACAAACTTTCGCAAGCCCCTGACATTATATTAGATTGTTATATCCTATCTTACGTCATTTTACCGCACTGTATTATCGTCAATGTATATTGCACGCACCTCAGGATTATATGCTTGCCACGAGAACATTTGCATAAATCCCCGGAATCTCGAACGGATCGAGATTGCTGATGCAAATGTTTGTTTACAGTTGGCTGAAGTGTGGAAACTGATCGAACCAACGATTACCAAGTGTTTACCCGAGAAGTTGGCGAGCGGCTCCAACGGGGTCTCATAGCACAGGGAAGTTTCGTGTGTTTGTCCCGGCAGATCGTGCCTTATCAAATAATTAATAACCGAGACTCGTATGGATTCCTGGCAAATACGATCACCGATGCGCATTGCGGCTGTTTTCCACTGACCAGAGGGGAAAAACTTCGAGCGCATCCAATCCTGTCCAGAGCGCCACGTCGATATTAACTACATAGAAATTTTATATTCTCTCTCTCTCTCTCTCTCTCTCTCTCTCTTTCTTGTATATTGCTTCGATATCCAAGTGTACTATGCATGATAACAACCGTGCGATAGACCACACTTTTTTTTCTAGGAGGAGGGAATTACGAGAAGGCGTATTTATCTTTTACAATAACGAGCAGAATCTCGAGTGTATAGCGCGCATAACTTTTAGACATTCCTTTGTTGTGTACTTAATATATTTTATGAGCTACCAAATGATATATCTGTAATTCTCTCTCATTGTTATATCTCTATGTACATATAAAGATTTACAGAGGTTGTGTATATAGGTGTTGTATCGATACATGAAGTGTCTGAGTAATTGTAAATAACAAAATCTTACTAGACTCTTGCGCGAGGGTTTGTATCCTTATACATATGTACGTACAAATAGAAGTCTGAAAGCTTACGGATATTCAACAAGGGTTCGGCCGTTTTAACCGAGAAGAGAAAAACAGATACGAGTTGCAGCTTGTAACGCCGATGGGGTAGAGCATTAACGTAATTTCTGATTCGACAACACGTCGAGCTGTTGACTCGCTTGGACTTAACTCCTTCACTTGACCACCGAATTTCGCATCACGATCATTGTTGTTCGCTTTATCCTCTTGCATTGGTTTTTTTCCAATATCGTCTGATCCAATACCGTTTCTTCCTGTTTCTCTCCTATTCTTTTTTCATCCATTCTAAGTGGTTTTTCTCTCAGCGGAATCAATGTTTGTCAAATTTAGTTATTATTTCATATAATAACGTTAAAAATCGCAAAATTGTTAAGGAGGATACATAGATGCAATCGAGTTTTCGCGGAGGGGAAATCTATTCCAAAATGACTAAGGATACTGGAAGTTCAATATCACTAATAGATCTGGGTCGTTTTATATATTATACTCATGTTTATGACGACGATGAAATATATTGTTATAAAAATATGCGATTTTCTCCTCCTTTCTTCCGTCAATATGAATTTTAGGATGATAATTATTATTAACGCAAAAAATATTCAACGGCTCTGAAGAAAATTACAATTATTTTTTAATTATTTACAATTACTTAGAATTGCCATCTGACACTAAAAAAATATTTTGATTTCCTGTTAAGTCATATTAATAAAAAATAAAAAAAGTGATCTGACCCGTCAGTCATTTATAAATAAAAAAATCATCTATCTTATTCTTGAATTGTACTATGATCTCAAATTATTTTTATTCAAGAAAAAGAAAGACATTGAAACAAGCCCATTCTGCTACGATCTCAATTTTTCATTAAATATGGTGATGGCTACGAATATTTTACAATTCTATTCTATAATAATAGTTCATCCGTCGGGCCGTTTAAAATACAGCTAACAGACTGTCTAGCGCAATCTAACAGTGTCACAGAAAGACCTGTTACATCAAACGGGTTGGAATCTCGTCTAAGTGGGTTCAGATCTCGACTAAGATGGGTTTGAGTTTTCGCTAAATGTAGTTCCAGAATATCCGCTACGAGCCGCCACTATATTTAATGACAAACTTAGGTCGTAGTACGGCATAGCAATAAGTCAGACGAACTTTTTATTATCAAGTAGTAACGATTGGGTAAACGCTTTCTTTTATAAACCAGAGTTACGACCGAATAGCATGTCGAAAGATCTTTTCATATTTGAGTTTTACGACTCAATAGCAGATTGGACACACACTTTTCCGCGTTTGCGTATATTAAATTATTATTTATGATTAGATCCGATTAAGAAAGCGATGGATCGCTTTTCTCGATTACGAAAACTAGGCAACAATCGGTGAGCTGTAACTTCGGGAGAAACTATGATAATTTTATACAGTTCAAGAAATTTCAGAAATTATTTTACATTTCGATGACTCTACTTGTTATAATATTACGATATTATATACAACATTGTTGTCATTTCTTGGCAAGATCAATCCTTTAACGAGGAAAGAAAGAAAGCGATAGAGAGAGAGAGAGAGAGAGAGAGGGAAAAAGACCGAACATCGATTCGTCGGTCGTGCATCGACCGTTTCTACCGTGAAGCGTTAATTATTGCCAGGTCATTAAAATGCCAATTTACCACGTGTAAGCGCCACCGATACGGTAAGAGCAGCGCGCATCGTCTCGTAAACTACCCGTCGAATGTGCCGCGTTATCCGCGTGCATCAATTCGGAATAAGGCCCTTAAAAGCTTCATCGAGATCCTTGCCCTCGTCTGGCAGGGCGGGCGACGGTCGCGTAATGTTCTTTGAACGTCCCGCATTTTAGATTAAAGGCGGTTAACCGAGTCTTTCTCTTCAACGTGTACCGGACGAACCCTCGTCGTCGTCGTCGTCGACGGAGAGAGCAGGAGAGAAAGAGAGAAAAAGAATAACGCATTCGAGTGCCAGCCGAGCGGAAGTAACGTTTATCTCGGACGTTTCTTCGCGAAACGACTTGTGTCGGTCGCTCACTGCGATATACACAGGCTGATTCTCAACTATACATGAGGTGGATTTTCAGACAGTTCGAGAGAAAGAGAGAGAGAGAGAGAGAGAGAGGGAGAGAGGGAGGGAGAGCTGCCTTCGTAGGAAATACGATCGAGGATATATTATATTAACGTCTTCTTCCTTCTCACGCTGCAACGGTTTCTCCGGAGCCCCGATACTTCTTTCTTCCCTTCGAACCCAAAAAGTTCGAAGGTCCAAAAAGACTTGTCACGCGAATAACGATCGACATTATTGTTACACGACGATAATCCGTATCACGTTTGTCGCACGACGGCGATTCATTTCGCGAGACACGTCGCCAACGCAGAGCCGCGTTTCTCAACGATCGAGCTGCAGAGCGCGTCAGGGAAAAAAGAAACAAGCTGCCGTTCGCGGAGCTGGACGATGTGATACACACATACACACACACACACACACAAAGTCAGATGATTAAAGGTCGCGGCGCTTTCCCTCGATGAGTTCCGCGACGCGTCCCGCATCTAACGGGGAGGATGCATCTTCTGGGAGTCTCCGCATTGAGAAAAAAAATACTGAAAAATTTATTCGCCGGGGAGATACAAGATTTATTTCACAGAAATAAGGCTTATTTCTATGAAACAGACCTCTTATATTCCACAGATGAATTTTTTAATATTTTTCCCCAGTGTGAGAAACAAACCGATACTTTTGTCGGGGGTGCGATGCGAAACTTCGAGTTGTCAACAAGCCCACGGGCTTGCGCAGTAATCGGTTGTGACGGGAGCCAAAGTGGCAAGTATATGAGACACCCGACTCATGCTCAGCTCAACGATTCAGGAAAAATACGAGTATATTTATTACCCTCTCACCTGTCGGATGAGAGAATATGACAAAGAGAGCTGATATTTGCAGCGGGTATTGTCATCCCGGCCCCTGTCGGAAACGATCACCACGGAAACCCGGTGGTTTGCAACTGACAACTTGGAGGCGTTTCTAACTTTGTTAGAATAAATGTGTTTAAGATAGTTGGTCTGTGACGATACTACAACAATGTTAGGAAGGGAATGATTAAGTACGAAGAAACTCGGCAAATCTCTGCTAAATGTTTGTAAGCATAATTTATGCCGTGCAGCTTTGACTTTATTAGCAAGAGAGCACCGATCAAAATTATATAATATTTAAAAACTCATCAAGAAATCATCGTTCCTCACGCTTTGATGGGTAATATTTTTGGCCGGGACTACCTGTGTTGGGCATATGTTAGTGAATCATATATATCGTCAAACATATATATAACGCAATAAATTTGCAATGCTTTTCCCGAAGAAATGATTCCACGCCTTAAATCACAACGAGCAGTAGTAATATCTTTCTGAGAAGTAAGAGTAAGAAATTAACCAATCATAGCCGATTAATTCTCCTTACGTTCAAATATGACTGATCAATTTCTCACTCTCGCCTCTTACGATCCCTACATATTCCTTTCGCCCATCATAGACTACTTTATTTATCACTGCTTCATTCCAAGACGGTCCTTAAGCCGTTCTACAACCGACTATACAACCCGATCCTCTGGTTGATCCTACGTTACGCGGGAAAGGGAGGTAAACCTCTTCGCGGAGGACCTCTCTTTCACACCCTCCCTCTCCCATCGCGCTTGAATGTCAACATCGTCAGATAACCGTCCCGGCTATCCGGTTGAGAAGTCGGGCGACGGACAATGAACGAGCCCTCTCGAGTGAGCGCATTCTCATCCCCGAAGAGTCGCGCGCGAACCCGGCCGCGGCCTGCTATATGCTGACGTGTACGCGCCAAAGGACAAGCTACTGAACATTGCAGAGGCAATTTTCCCCGACAATGCCGGCCACTTTGTTTCGCCGGGGATCGCCCGTCTACGTGCGCGTGCTTTGAGAGTCGCGCGTGACTCGGCTGCAACGTTGCGGCGACGGCGGTATGTATTCTTCGCCGTCGACGCCAAAGGGACTTCGGGGGCTCAGGAAGAGCGCCGTCCAGGCGCGGTCTTCAGGCACGCGGAAGAGGCAGCGCGCCCACGCGAGGACGGTTACGCGTTAATTAGACGCCCTGGGCGATCCCGAGGTGACTGATTCGGCCTTCTTTATACGCCCGAACGCTCAGACGTTCGCTCATCTGTCTGCCTGTCTGTCTGTCGGATCCATCTGTTGTCGCGGATATCGTTATTAATATCGTCAGTTGTGTGAGAATTTCCTTCTCCTCGCGATCAGCTCGGACTTCTCGCGTCTTGCCTCACCGTGGAAACCTGTCCAAGTGACGACGCTTCGTCATCGTCGACCGAGTTTCCCACGAACACGCTTGTTCACCGTATAAGAACCGTATTTGGGTCATAACTGCCAGAAATTCTGTTCCCTTCAATCAGACCGCATCTGGTTGTTCACTTTCTGGTTGTATAACTAATGTATAATACAGCTAGATTTTTTTTCGTTCGATCGAATCAATAAAGAACGGGTCGATAAATCCTAATCCGGGAAGCGGGCATCTTAATCTCGTTTCGTTCCATCTCTATCGGCTGTGCGACTAATTCTTTTCGGCACAATTAATCACACTCTGCAGGTAGCTCGATGCCGGCCACGGATGATCATCCCGGCGTTTAACACGTTAATTAGTTAGATCGCGAGATCGCGCGATAAACGGGACGGGATTTCGCGGCTGGACGCGAAAGTCCAGAAGCGGTGCGCTCAACCGAGTATATTATCAGCAAAAAAGCTCCATAATTAGCGCTAAAATTATCCGTTAAATACACAAACCGCTCTTTCCCTCTTTCTCTTGCGCTACTCTTCCCCCCCCCCTCCCCCCTACCCGCGTTAAAGAGCGAATTCCGCAGTCTCTCATCCCCCTCTCTTTTTCTTCCTTTCTCTCTTTCTCTTCCTCTCCGCGTGATTCAAAATTATAGGCTCGCTCTGCAACGGCACGGTCCTGCGCCAAAATGCAACGAAGTATAGAATTGTCTCGTTATCGTGACCAGCTGCGCGAGTGCAGCTCGTTAAGAGGATTCCCTTTGACGAGCTCTTCCCCCCCCCCCATCTTTCCCCTTGGCCCGTTTTCACCTCCTCTTCCACCAGCACCACCTTCTTCTCATTCCGCAGCACCACCTCCCTCCTCTTCCTCCTCCTCTTCCTCACGCATCTCGTTTGCAGGATTTTGCGCCGTTGCATAAGGAGATGATGCGATTACAGTCGCGCTTTTTCTATTCTTCGCAATCGGACGCAGCACGGCCGAACGCAATTAGACGCGCAAGCCTGTGTTCATCCGGAACGACATTTCGCGTCGCGGTGGAAAATGGCATGGCGATTGTCGGCAGGTGCGCGATTAAACTCGATCGCGGAAGCAACCCCCGATATTTGTCCGCTCTAAAATCGACTCGACGGCCGAGCTGTTTTCGCGGCGCAGCCCGGCTTAAAAGTGCAACAATAGTTTTTGACCGAGACTCTGAATCTTGATCGAAATAAATATTTGTTATG